TTTCGTACTAATGTCTCATCCATCTGTAGGTCGACAGGCTGTAAAGTGCGAGCCCTGTCAACAAATATAAATGAATCGTAAAATGTTAATGATAAAGAAAAAAACCAAAAAGAAAACCTTCAAATGTATCAATATAAAATAAAAAAGTTTCAATATTTTTAGCAAATCCTTACCTAATTTTATCAACCATCTCTACTCTATATAGCTACTATACTATTGTGATTGTAAATCTATTTTCTTCTAGACTCGAAGTTTGTTTGTTATTTATAGAAGTATTAGTACATTGTGGCACTACGCACCACTTGTAGCTCACTTTTTAAAGAAAACCAGAGCAGAGGAAAATAAAAACGTAAAAAATACGCACTACGACTTCAATATCTCTTTTATATTATTATTTCAATTCATTGATGTTGAATAAACATTGATGTTTTGTCATCGATGTTTTAAATTGGATAACATCGGCACATCGATGTTTTCGTGCCAAACATCGATGTTTATGAATAAAATGTCAAGATACCCTTTAGGCCATCTAACGTGCTCCAGATGTACCTGTAATGTAGCTAGATGATCTCGTATAGCAAGTTCAACTATTTTATACTAGATGTCACCGGTTGCACTCGTAACTGGAGTACGCAAACAAATAGTTTTTTCTTTGCTTGCATTTTCCTAGGAAATTAGAAATAAATCTGTCAACTTCAGCGCTCGTTGGTATCTTATAAGTTACTTTATTCACCGGTCTTACTTTCAAAGATCCGTACATTAGATAATTCCACTTGCGAGTGCGGAATCGAAAAAGGTACCACTGATCCCATCCTCTTCCACTGTCTGAAACAACCTACTTCATATGTGCAACTTCCATCTAAAACCCCCCCGTCCCATTAAACTTAATACTATCTTGTCTATTTCTAACATACCTATCTTTTTGCGTCTTGTAAGCATATTAAAAAATATAACAATCCACTATAATCTACATGGCACTATCATATATTTATTGCGATATTTTTTATTTAATTTATTAGTACAATTTGTGACGTTTGCTTTGTGTTGTACTTTTAGAACAAGGAAAGAAGAAAACTATTAAAAACCGTTTCTCACTATCCTGCAAAAATTCTGTGTAAAACGGAAAAAGGTCATTTATGTATATAAAAAAAAAAGTTACTTTATGCTCGTTGGGCTCGTTCTCTGTCCGTGAAACTCCCGCGTGAGTTTTTATAACACTTGTCTTATTCCATTACTTTTATGTTAAGGGGTAGAATTCACCTATCCCACATTAAAAAAGATTGCATTAAAATATTTACTTCCACGGCTTCAGAGAGGCTTTTTTCTAAAGCTGGTCAATTCCTTTAACAGCAACGCAATCGATGTTTGGGGAACATCGATGGCTTTCATCGAATGTAGACTTCGATGTCAATATCGATTTTTTCCAATATCGATCATCCCTAATTATTATGTTACTTATGGATTTGACATATTTACTGGTCTGTGACGTCACGATCAGCGCCATTACATAGAGAAGCGTTTTTCGCGCTCTTTTGGCTATTTAAATTTTAACAATTATTTTCACCAAAAATAGAAAAGATTCCAATGAAATATTATGACAGTGTGTTTATAATGTAGCAAACAACGATTTAAAATAGTTTTCAGAAAAGTGTCAAATACCCTATTATACAAAAGATATGCACACACTTGCATTTTAAACATGCCAATCAGAACGCTCCAATATAACTATAACCAATCACGCTCAAGCATGCCAGACATCTATAGTGCGCAATAAACGTGTAAAAGCCATTTTAATTTGACATATCACACTAGTGATTGACATAAAGTTATTTACTATCGATATTGAAAAACAACAAGTCGATTAATTGAAAGAATACTAGAGTAATGATTTCTTTATATTATTTTGGATATACATTGAACTGTATTGATTAAATGCATAGAGATAAGGTGTCTATGATTAAATGTGACATGATCTTTTTTCTTCAGATATTAATTCTTAATTAGTTGGTTGATTCAATATGAAATAATTAAATTACTAATGAACTAACATTGAATCGGTACTAGTCGACTTTAAATATTTATTTGCATAAAAATATGTTTGTTTATTAATAATAATAGTAGATATTTTTTTTACGTTACGTTACTCGATTTCGTATAAAGTAAACAGATAAGATCGGCAACATCACTTAAATGAAACTAGTAATATTGAAAAACAATATAATGTAAATGAATATATGTAAAATAAAAAAATACTATCAGTCCAATAAACGCTATTAGAACTTATCCTGAACGGATTCCGAAGATTTAAAAAGTATTGTTGTTAATGGTTCAAAATAAAATAAAAAAAGAACTAATTTTTTGTTACAATATTAAGAATATAAAAACAGACTTATTACCACACTCATTATTAAATTAATTTACAAACGCATACCAAACGAAGTCAATATGGTTAATCTCTGATTAAATTTATTTTTTATTACCACTATTTTTATCGTCCATACTTTTATTTAGTTTTTACTAACTAACACACCAAGAATCGATTAAATGTTTCCAGGCACTTCACTACCCATCTACCGTAATCTATTATGTTGCTATTTAAAACGGTGATTTCGCGATGTTCTTTACATTACGTGCTTAGTACGACGCAATGTAATAAATATGCGCACTTCTCCAGCAATGTATATTTTCTTGGAAATATTTTTTGTGATTCACACTTTTGATAACATTTCACGAATTTCGACTAAAAATACTAAATTTGAGAAGTGTTCTACTTACTAATGGAAAGAAATCCTTCCTTTGGACCTACTTGAGGATGGGCTTCTTGTTTTGCAATTAATAACTGCGCAAGTCGGCATTTTTAACACTTTTAGTGGCGTGTTTCACAGTACTTACAGCGCGCGCGTTCGTGAATGACTAAACATCGCGATCGCGTGGTGAAGTCACGATCCTGTACATTTGTCCAGGATCGTGGCTACACTGCCACGCCCACAAGGCCTTTCTAACGTCTTTCTGTGTTCTGTGTGATTATTCATATTTTGTCACAAAATATATACCATAAAAAGAACTTTATTTTACTTCTGTCTAATGCTATAATGAATGGAGTGTAGGGGTGTCGATACGATTGAATACAAGTATTCCCTTGACACTTTTCTTTCGATATTATTGGTATCGATACTTTAGAACCGAGTAGTAAGTAGTATGATGAAGTACTTGGTCGGTCACTCACTGAGGAGTGTAAAAAAACTCGTGTGCATAAGACTGTCTACTCTGTGTATATGTCTTCTATTTAAAAACAATTTTAAGTTTTGAAACAGAGTTTAATGGAAAATTACTTGACTCTGACATAAAGTTTTATTTAAAATATTCTAAATCATTAGGAAAATGTGTCGCCCGTTATATCGATTAACTTAAAAAAACTAGGTAACGCTGAGCGTTACCTAGTTTTTTAATTATAGTTGTTTTTTGATTGTTGTTTTTTAATTATAGTGGTTTTTTGTAGTTTATATAGCCTTTTTTTCGCCATTATTGTATGTTTTTTGTTTAGAAATTATTTGTTTGGAAAATGAAGTGGACTAAAGAGAATAGGATTACAGTAATTGCACTGTATAATGTAGGTAAGAAGCCGGCCGACATTTTTGATACATTGAAAAAGCTAGGGATTAATTGTGTATCGTACCATCTAAAGGTATACTGAAACCATGTCTGTTGATGACCGTGAGAGATCCGACTGACCGCGGTCTATTCAAACAAACCAGGCCATTAATGCAGTCAAAGCCAGAATTCGTCGAAATCCCTTAAGGAAGCAGAAAATCCTTTCAAAGATAGGAGAATTCCACCGAGAATACTTTCTCGGATTATCAAACAATGATTAGGACAAGTGAGAGCTGGAAGAATGATTAGAACGCTGCCTCTAGGTATCTACCTGTTTAATCTTAAATTGTTTTAATTAGCAAATGATAAATTATGGAACTATTCGTTATAAAATATCTGAAAACTGTGTTAGTACCTATCGAATAGGTGCTTACCTATTTTTGTATTGTTGCAAATAAAATCATACGCAGACGAGTGCGCGCATCGGCGACATCATAGTGTATTCTAGGAAACGAGAGAGAAAGGTAACGAGAGAGAGAGAGAGCGAGTACGCCGGGTGGGCACGTGTAAGCTTTCAGGGTTGTTGCATATTAATTGAAAACAAATTGTTCAAATATTTGTATGAAAAATTCAATTAACGTGAAATTATTTTTTGACATATTACTTGTGTTCTTTGTGCTAGATTATTTGGCCATGTTTCGGCCAAATAATCTAGCACAAAGTTTCTGTAGACACAGAGCATTATTGATGATAATTTACCATTAATACAAGTAATGTAAGAATTGTAGGAGACCAATCAGGAAGTCTGTCTGTAGTCTGATCAAAACAAGTCAGTCATAAAAAATTAATTAATCAAATAGAAATTACTATGGTCTATGGTACGTTATATTTTTTGTGACTAACGAGTGGGGCGATGTATGGGCGATTCCACGGGCTGGAATAACAATGACAGTTATGACAACTATACTATACTGATATTTGAATGCGTTAATAATTATTAATTAAATATGTTCAAATTATCAATGCGTCCGAAAACAGGTAAATATTCAAAAACTAAAAATATATAGCTAATTTAGGATTTTAATAATGCTAGTTTTCGAATTGAATTGGTCCGATTCGAGGGCTAAGCATTGTTTCAAGAATCAGTATGTTATTCCATATCGATTCAAGAATCGATGTGGCATTCCATATCGATCTCAAGTTATTACTCTAAATAATTGATTTTTCGATTAATCGATATGGCTGGGTGGTGTGGTTGTGGTCCCTCATGTGGCCCCCCCTCTTCTAATTCTAATGTCATTCATGAAAGAATTTTGTTTTATCAAAGAAAATTTAATTAAATTTGTTACGTTTGATTTTATAAAATCTAAGATGAAACGAAATAAGAATACAGAATAAATCCTAACCGAGAAATATCAGTAGAAAAATAGGTACTCGCATTATTTGTTTCCGTTGATAAATGCATACTATTTATTTTCCCATAAAATTTAATTTGATTCCGACTGAATAAGAAGTGGCTATTACTAACTTAAGCATGATAAATCCAAAAAAATATTTAATCAAAGATATAATAAATAAACCTTCGCCTATAGAAGTATGGCTACAAGGAACCATAGAACAAACAGTTGGAAAAGATATTTTAATTATATCAGATTCCTCGGGAAGAGCGAAAATAACTAAATGTGAATGTGCAGATGGGGTAATTGACAAAAATTCGCTACAGAAAGGTAAATACAATCGGAATAAAACAATCAAACTAGAAGAACTAGCTTTTAGTATTGCTTAATGACAAAAATTGGAACCCATAACCAATCCAGGCAACTACAGTAATTTATTTTTTGTTTAAAATAAAGGACGTTGCCTGATATACTGAACGTCTGGCAATACTAGAAAGATACAAACAAATGAACATACTTCCTCAGCTTTACAGTCCTATAATAATAATGTATTCTGATTTTATACATGTCTGGATATAGTGTTAGAACGCCTATACTCCAAATGACATATGGTATACCTGTCACCTCGTCAGTTCAAAACTCTTAATATCAAAACTGTCACTGTAAGTAAAACATATATTTTGTCACACCTGAAACTTTAAGTGCATTTAAATCAATTGAAAAAATATTTTGTACCATTGGTAGGTAAATTTCAAATGTTTGTTTAGATGAATAAATAATCAAAATTATAAGTTATATTTTTCCTTATGACTATGATATGATAATATAACACTGTTTATGGAGTTAACAATTCTTCAATTAAAACCTTCCATAAGAGTGTAAGTGAATTTTAATAACAATAAATAAATGTTAGATGACATCACACATATTATATTGCTCATGCTCATATTGCTCAAGTAACCTTCTTATTATGGAGTATGTGAAACAACAAAGGTACCACAATCTATAAATTTTTTAAAAACTGCAATATAACAAAAACATTTGTTTTGTTACACACTGATCAACTTTATTATTTTTTTACTATTGTAATACAAATAACTTTAGTAGTGATACATTCTATGTAAATATGTTTGCTTCTGTAAAGAGGTGGTATAGTCAGTAAAGACATCCTTAACAGATAGGTACATAGAAATAATTATTCGACGATTCAAGAGTGCTTGCAATAAGCTTATTTGAAGAAGGAATGTTTTCATTCATTCATTAATTTAATAAAATCACATCTTAATATTGATGACGCCATACTTGGATAAAATTGTTTTATTGTAGATAAAACTTCTTTTAAATAATCTGGAAATTAAACATTAAAAATATATATTTCCAACAAAAGTGTATTATTTAATAACTAACACAATATAATGAGTTATAGTAAATTATTGATCCATTAAAAATACATTTTTTACATACTATTGTGGGAAATATTCGGGAAGCTGGTATTTACAAGATGCAGCATGCCTATTATCAATAGCACTCATGCACACTAATATTCACCTTCATGCACACAAGAATATCAAACCGAACCTATTTTTTGACAATTATAACACAACACTATTCAGACAAGTTTAAAATTATAGAACATATGGTGTATGGTAGTGTAGTATGGTAATGTAATTAATGGAACTTTCAGGTATCTACTGCTGTATAATTGGCACAACTGTAAAAACAAAAGGTTTGCCAGAAGTGCAAGCTAACAAGTTCATAGATTTAAGTACTAAACCACAGATGAAAAATGCTTGGGAGAATGAAGTCAAAGAAGCAGATTTACTACTTCAAGGAAAAATTAAACCTTTGTTATAAAACGTTTATTACCATAATGGATATGTGATCTTTTAACACTAAAATATAAACAACCTAACCTATGTATTGAAATCAATATATATTATTATTATTTATAACATATAAATTATTAATTACATTTTTATACATGTTCCCATTGACAAATTAATCCCATCCCTAACAAAAATATAATTCTGGAGCATAGCAGTTGCCCAACCATCGGTGAAGAACACTTCTCACTGTCAACTATTTTCTCACACAAGAAACATACTCGCCTCTCACAGTACTCATAAATCGCCACGCCCTATCATTAATGTGGGATCTGCATTTTAACGATTTTTGTTTTTTTTTTGTATAAAACCTCATAAAAGGGTGTAAGGAATATTATCACAAAAAAATAATTGTTTTGATTTTATTATAAGTTATTAATGTCGGTAGTGTCGCTTGTGTACGTACAAAAATTAAGGTACTCACTTACAGTCAATTTTGATCGGACATAACCGACGAGTGGATGCGTCGATCTTGCGTGGACCTGCCAGTTACATAGTTAATGTCGGGAAAATGCATGTAGGTTTTTTGATGTGAAACATTACATACACTCTGATTTCAAAAGATATAATGTCGGGCGACCGCAAAGAAGCGGATCCTCAAGGATTTTAAGCCTTATTTTACCAAACAACGCAGTTGTTGAAAATGGTGCATGTAATGATACAGGTAATATTAGCTTTATGTAAAGACTTGCCACTCATATTTTATTAATATAATAGACTTCAAATGTATAATTTTGTATAGCAAATTATATCCATTTTTTTGGTATAAGAAACAATGTATAATAAAATAAATAATAATAAATAATAATATTTATTTATTTCCACCACAAATATCTAGGTAAATTAACTAAATATACATAGTTTTCCGATCAAAAACCGTGTAAAATAGCTTCACGTGACATTGTAACGTATATAAAGTAAAATAAATTAATATATTATATTTGTTTAACGTATCATAGAATAAAAAACACCCATGCCAAACTTCGTAATCCTAACCCTTAAAATGTCGTTTTTATTCAACTTTTCATCTTTAAACCGCTCTCCTGTAAAGTTGCATATTTGTAGATACTACATTAATGATAGGGCGTGGCGAAATGGTTGGACAACTGCCTAAACGAAAACAATACTATTGATAAATGCAAATAAAAATTACACTTATATAATTATAGTACCTAGTTAAGAAATAACTGGGCTTTATAATTTGGCGTCATTCTTGAGCAAGGGTCCAAGTTTTTGAGCAAGCATAATGTTGCCAGCAATCTTGAGTTTTCCCTTCATGAATGCAGCTTGTGGGTTTAGTTTCCCTGTAGCAATTTCAACTATGTCTGCATCTGATACAGTCAAAGTGGTATCTGCTTTAGGTCCAACCCCCTCAATGACTTCAGGAGTTTTCAAATCCAGAGCTAAAAAAAATTACAAATTAGTTTTCAAATTAATTACTGAAGTATGCTAGAATGAGGCGGCCTTCGGTATGTACTGAAAATTAAAAAATAGTCTTAAGCCACTCTTTCATCAAAATCTTATAAATGGCATATTTGTGCTTGTAACATCTTTGAAGTCACTGTTTCGTAATAAACTAGCTTTCAGAAAACATCTATTAATATATTGTAGTGGTCAATAGTAGCAATTCTGTTGCACAAAGTAGACTTAATTTATTAATTGTATTAAACAATGGAAATAACAGAAGTATACTCATTATATTATAATCATAATATATTGTTTATCGCATAGGACATATTACAGAAAAGCGAGAATACAAAGGGCGGTCTTTACGTAGCAATCTCTTCAAAGAAAAAATAAACTATATAATAAACAGGGGGGGGGGGGGGGGGAGGGCGTGCAAGATTGATTGAAAATCTGAATAAAGTAATATAATAGATAAATATAAAAAAAAAACATTTAATATAGATATATTACTAGTTTTCTAGGAAGTGTATGTTCAATCATGCAACAAAACATTGTAAAGTGCGAGCCTTTCTTATGACTTCACGCAAAGATTTCCAAAGACGTACGGCATACACGAAAAATGACTAGGAAAAGAAGTCTGTAGTATAAAGAGGATTTTTTATTAAGGGTTAAGTTAAAAGAAGAGCGTAGAGTACAACTTTCAAATCCTTTTTTTAGATGAGGAATCATAGGTAGGAAAAGAATGGAATAGAGGAGCATAAGAGTATGTAAGTCTCTTCGCCAGCGAATTCTTGGAGCTTCTCTTCGGAGCGTATGTGTGATACGTGGTCATATTTGCGAAAATTGAAGATTTATCTGATACACAAATCCTGCGGACCCTCGAGCTTGTTAAGAAACTCTTCCTTCTCTTATGTGTGTGTGTATGTGCGTGTGTGTGTGTGTATGTGCGTGTGCGTGTGTGTGTGTGTGTGTGTATGTGCGTGTGTGTGTGTGTATGTGCGTGTGTGTGTGTGTGTATGTGCGTGTGTGTGTGTGTGTGTATGTGCGTGTGTGTGTGTGTGTATGTGCGTGTGCGCATGTACATTAGCGCGTGTGCGTGTGCATGCGTGCGTGCGTGTGTAAAAAGTTCCGCAGTCGGTTGAGTGAGCCGTACGCTCAAACATTCTCATTCTGCGCGATAAGGTGAGATTTCCAAGAAAGTTTTTGACAGATTTTGAATATGGTACGATGATGCCGTCAAATAAAACAAAAGTTCAAAATCGATCCTCGAAACCAAATGAGGACTGCCAATTATTATGGTATGAGTCTTCGAAGGGTTGACAATAAGAACAAATGATTTACTCCAATTAGAGATTTTAGAGAGGTTTGAATTCGTAACTGCCACGGCATAGAAAAGATCCATCAATGGTGCCTGGGTATAAATTTGAAGATCATCAGCATAAAAGTGATAGAAACTAGAAAGCGATTGTGTGATAGAATTTATAAACATAGAGAAAAGGGGAGAGATAAGATCCTTAGGAACTCCGGCATTTATAGTGCACCGCGAGAAGTTGTCACCACCACCAATACGTTGCCGACGCCTTACAGGTAACTTAGAAACCATACCATTGCTGCTTGAGATATGTTAAGCGAATGCATTGTGCCAAGAAAGATGTCAAAGTCGACAGAGTTGAATGCACTACTGAAATCGAGTAACGTTAACATCGTTAGCTGCCGATTTTCCATCGCATGTCGGATGTCATCTGTTATCTTTACCAGTACAGTATAAGTGCTATGACCCGTAAGGAAGCCAGATTGAAATGGATTGGAATTAGTTTTGGACGGGATACGAGTTTTTTTTAATTATTATTTATATATATATTTTTTTATTATGTACATGTGTCTTCGAAATGGCCCGAAAACGTTCCCAATAAGGATGATGACTAATTATTGTTTGTTTGTCCGTCAGGGAGAGTATTAAAAAATATTAAACACGTATTTTTTTTATTTTACATGGAGTTGAAATTTCGCATGACGTCACGTTATGGTACGTTTTCTACTAAACTGTGACGTAGTTAGCCCCCACTCCTCAACTTTAATGCCTGTTATCTAAGCTATTTCTTGTTAAATTGAAGTAAAAAAAAATACGTATCTAATATTTTTCTATTATCTGACTGACGGACTAAATAAAATTAATTTTTTTTTACCTAGTCGTCATCCCTATTTTTTTTCCAGAGAGTGGTACAACAGAATCGTTACTAAAACAAAATGTGATGTGTACTTACTCCACTGTTTAACAGTTTTTCCATTTACAGTTATGTTGTACAAGAACACGCCGTTGATACTTTTCGCCTTTGCAACATTTTTACCAATTTCCTCTTTTATCTTTATAAATATAGCATCACTAGCGAGACTATCAGATGCGGAAACAGCAGACGGACGTACTTTACCAACATTTTTCAAGTCCACATAAGCACCTGGAGAAATTTTTTTAAACATATACATTAATATTATTACGTTGCTCGCCAGTAAATTGCAAACATCCACTATGTAATGTTGGCTTACACATATTGCTTTTCATTGTGATTTTGAGTTAAAGGTATGATTTATGTAAAACCAAGTGAAGTATTAATTGAAGAGAAATAAAGTCTCAAAACCATATTATTAATCGTAAATGATCGAGACCATACAATTATTTTCCACCTATCCATAGAATTGGAGTAATATTTAATGGAACCGGCAAATCAGGGTCCTAACTCCTTTCACTATTTTAATCAAAATTTGAAACAATCTATAGTTTCAAACCTACAAGTCAGACTGATTAACATGACATAGTGACATAAACATGTTAATATCCTGCTAGGGCTCAGGAGTTCCCTATGGATGGAATCGAATAGGGAGAATGGGTCATTACCCACTACCGGGACCAAGTGCAGATTGGTAGGTATTAACGACTGCAAATGCAGCCGGGACCAATTTAATGTGCTTTCCGAAGCACGGAGGAGTTCGAGATAAAAACAATTTTGGTCACCCATCCTATAACTAGCCATTGCGAAAGATCAAGCGCGTTAGCCACTGCGCCATCGAGCTCCTCATTATATAATATATTATATAAATAGTTAATAAAATGAAAAATAACGAATCTGCACGCCGTACTTTGTAAACACGTCATTAAATGACATTTTAATTCGTCAGACTTGTAGCAGTTTAATCCCAAGAGTAAGTAACATCAAAGTAACAGATAGTGTTTTAACTCAAATATAAAACCACTCCCTCGAAATATAGAGGTTATGCAAATGTAACTTTGTTCTTCGGATATGTCATCTGACAACCGATCTTCACGAAAGTTGCTTAACCATTGCTTTAGATTTCAGTTTAAATTAGTTATCCATAATAATTACCTGTTATGACCACATTGCCGGTCTCCTTCAGTTTGGATTGGAAATGAACACGCTTGCCCTCAACCCACATCTCTGTGACAATCGTTTGACCTGGTACAACTGGCTTGGCGAAACGGGCCTTAATAGCTTTCACGTTAGCAGGACTGTTGTCTCCAAACCTTTATCAGAAACAATTCAAATTTTTAAATAATGTAAGTTTTATCACACATATTAAATCAATGAGAAATACATACCGTTATTGGTAAAATAGGAAAGAATTATCATAGAAAAACGAAACTAAAAGCAAGTAATATTCATGCTAGTCCATTGTACATTGAACAGATACTAGCGATAAAAAAGATAATTGTTGATTATTATCTTTTAAGCTCAGGATTACCATGATATGAGTTTGGACATTGTACACATTAGGGAGATAAAATAAAAAATCAATTATACTACTCTTGCAAACTAACATGATATCTGACGGCCTATTCTCGCATATTCTAATTCCATTTATAAGTATTTCTCCGTAAACGAAATTTCGTTTATTTTCGAAATGCTAATACGATTCCAAAGAAAACATTTTTCGATAATTTATGGCGCAAGGGAAGGAGAACCTGTCACTGCCTCTGATGCATAGATAATATTCATTTATCATTTAACAAAGTTAAAAGAAACACGCAATTAACTGAATTTTCGTTCGAGGACAAATAGAATAGGCCCTCAGCCGTGCGATTCTATGAACACATATCGAACACCGGAAAGCTGAATTCACAGTGAGATTCAAATTCCCTATTCTGTATAACTCGAATACATCGTTGGCTTCTCACTGTAGAACACTGAGTGAATTGAACTAAGAATTTTCCACCACGCCACTATTTACTTAATTTTCGTCATGGCTATTTGGCCACTAACCATTTCTTTTATTTAAAGTATTTTCAAAATTAAATAACGCAAAAAAATTAAAGAAAAGGAATATTCCTTTGCTTCCGTTTTTTTATTATACAAAAATCCAAAACAAGCTTATTTGGTTCACACATATCTCAGATATTCCATTCCTTTATAATTTCGAAACTCACTTCACTTTACTTGTGCCACGAAACGTAAAGTTAATTACCAAATCAAGGATAAGCGGATTCGTTTCCGAAATAAGTTCTGTCACCTAACTGAATTGGAGTTCGGATTTCCACGAAATAGCTCTGAAGATATCATGTTAATTAGTATGAGTTATACTTACTGAGCCAAAACGTGTCTAACAGAGAAGCCGAGTGAGCAAAGACCGTGCAGAATAGGCTTAGTATGTCCACTGGCCACCGCTACATTAGGGTCGATATGTAGTGGATTATAATCACCAGATAATCTGAAATATAAATATATAAACATCAGACAACATTACAAATTACTCAGATACCAAATTAAGTAGCTAAAGCACTTATATGTATTATAAAATTTTGAAACGAAGGTAACGTAACCGATTTGTACTCGTAACTTATTTCTTTTTGTTAAATCTTTGATTTCCGGAAAACCGGAAACCATCCTATATCCTTGTGAAAGTTGCTTAACCTCCGCATCGCAAAGCGAACGCACTAGTCACTGCGTCTTCGAACTCTTTATTATCATATTACTTATATTATTTTGGAAGTTGAATTACCGGTTTGCTTTGAAATTAATAAAAGCTTTAATATACTCGTACAATCACAGTACACATCATGTAAAATGTTTTTGTAACACTGAATAAATATTATTTAGCTGCTAAGTCGTAATAGTTTAAAGGTTATTCGCGTCAGAGCAATGCATATTCATTAGAAATGTCTATTAAATTTAACTGATAATGATTAAACTTTGAACTCTTGCGTTACTCAAACGTTTGAGTTTCTGTTGTGATTACTGAAATTATAATCGAATAAACACAAATTTTATAGGGATTTTAAATATTTGAACAAGCAAATGTTCAGTATCTGAGTCCTTAATAAAGCTTTTATAAAGATTATTTGATAAAGAAAATCAGAACCGCGACAGTTAAATAACTGTGAAATACATCATTTGTTTACCTATTTCCCAATATTAACATCATAATTTTCTTGAAGTCGCGGGAAAACAGCTAAATTTAAACAAAACATTACTAGATATAACTCGCTCCGTTCGATATGAAAAGTTCCAAATGAAACATTTTATGATATCGGAAACTGATCCGAATCATTTGGATTACATTGAAGTTTCATATCACTGAGTCGGTTCCCTAAAGAGCGACACACGTTTATTTTCTTGCGTGAATAACGCCCATTTTCACAAACCTAAACCAACTTAAGCTATAACTACGAAACAACTAATATATCGAATCGCCTAAACAGATAAGTTTAATTGTTAATAAATATTTTTTTTTAAATCCCTTGACATATTTATGACCTTTAGATATTGCTTAATTTAACTTAATCGTTAATTCGTTTCTAGTCAGTGGTGAAATACATTTTTACATTAAGCGATTCCTAAATATTTAAGCGGCAGATGAGGGCGACTAAGTTTAGTGAAAACAGGCATAAGTGTCTAATTATAACTGAATGAGGGCTATCGTATTTCCGCTCACAGTCCAGAGAGTACCTGTCAAAGTTTGTTTCCTACGACATTTAACTTAAACCATACCATCTTATAATCAACAAAAATCAACCATTTCATTGAAAACTGGATTGGTGGGAGTATAAAATATTTGTTTTTTCATAATTAATTTCAGCAATTTTATAAATATGACAAGCATCGTCGGTAATAGTATACTAAACATTACCAGAAACAAAAAAATGAATTTATTTTCGTTTACTGCCTACAACCGTATTCAAACGCGTTATCCCTCATTGTCATAAATTTTTATACCGAACCATATCAATGAAATAGCATTACCTGTACAATGCAGCTTGATCTTCAGCAGTACGTTGTTCGACAACAGCGTCCGGCTTCCTCTTCGGTGCGGGCTGGACGTCTATTGAATTGTCACTCTTCCTTGGACCGTTAAAACCACCTTGTCCCACTACGAAGATATGCTGCTGGGTACGGTACAACAGTTTGTCACCTTGAAAGATTTCACCTAAGAACAAAGAATAGGGTAGTGAAAAATAAGTCACGAAATTGCACAAAAACAAGAATTATAATCGTAATAAACATAGAGCTTCTGATTTTGAGTATTTAAATCGTATGTCACGTGACTCGAAACACGACCTTCCATTGTGTGACGTCACTGTGGCGAAGGCAGTCAGGTAAGTCATAAAGATATGCTTAATTCGTAATCGATCGGCGATCGATGGCGTTGTTCTTGTTTTAATGACATCTTTTAATCTTCTACTCTATGCATATGTTTTGTGTACATATCACAATGACGTCATGAATATGACTGACAGCGTTTCCGCGGGTATAAAAAAAGATTTAATTTTAAGACAAGAAAACGTGTTTCTTTTACGGGTTTTTTTTTTATTTAAAATTAATAGTTACAATTTTTATTTTAAACAGGGTAGAATTTCCTATTTATCGACTTGCTAACTGACAATAATTACATTACAAATGAGAAGCTTAATTTTATATAAAAAGTTTATATAAAAAGATCGTGTGATAAAAAATATTGCATCACATCATAAAGCATCTATGCTGGTAAATCCTGGGGCTCTATTTTTGAATCATTCGTCTCGCGTCGAGCGCTCGTTTTCTACTATCACTCGCATACAACGTTCGCTAAGCGACGAGTGGTTCATACCATTCGTTGCAGTCGAGCGATTTAGAAATGGCGAATTTGTTAAGTCGAACGAAAATCAGTAGAAAACGAGCGCTCGACGCGAGACGAATGATTCAAAAATAGAGCCCCTGTTAATTGACAAGTTTAACAAACGTCTGTTAAATACACCATTCAACGGGAAATCTCTAGCTGCACCTACAGACAAAACCCATTTTATTTTTGTAAAAATTGTCAATTAACAGCTTTTACCTGTCAGTCTATTGATGTTTCTATTATTCTAATAAGTAAATACTCACACTCAACACTTACGTGCGCTCGAAATTGAATTACTGATGATCATTTTTCATTTGACTTATTTCATTTGCTTTCTTTTATAATGATGATGATGATCTTTCGAAATTTCATCTAATTCACTTCCAATAAAATTGTCATAAAAAAGTACTCACTGTTTACAATGCCAACAGCACTGGAACCTTTGTCGAGTAAATCAACGACGTAGTTTCGGACTTGAAAAGTTCCCTCTGTGCCAGGGAAATCATCTACGAATTCTATATATTGTTCACCATGGAGAATCTACAACGTATATTTATGTATATTACTAAAAAGCGAACTCAACTATTGTTTTTCCTTAATTAACTGAAGAAATTAAATTCATTCATTAAGGAAACATATGTGATAAAACTGTTTAATTCTAACTTTAAAATAATAAATTTAGCACTAACGCAAATAGTGTGTTTAAGTCTGTCATTGCAAAGGGCAGTCATAGATGACCAAAAATTTATGCTTTACTCATCCATGCTTATCTATGCTTTGGGAGGAGTGTTAAGCCGTTAATCCAGGCTGCATCTTCTATTAGCATATGAGGCCCTTTATCTCAGTTAGATTCTATCTATAACCAAGGTCTGTGCAGTGGAACTTTTAATAACCTGATAATCATTAAAGTGTATTTTTTAAAGTGTATTTCTTACGTTAGTGAAATCGGCATGTTTGCCAGGAGGCATAGCAGCTGGCACTAAAGGTGCCTCCATACACATGCCCGCCAAAATAAAGAAAGTCGGTAAAGCTGTAAACTCTTCATGACTTTCGTACAGGAATTTCAGGTCACTAGGGTTTAGCACCGATGCACCAACTGTAAGCAAGAACATTAATGATTTATCTATAGTCTGTTCCGGCGGATTCATCCTAAGGACACACAGCAGACGCGGACCTAGGGCGGCCAGATATTAAGTAAACAATTATGGTATATAATATAAATTATAAATTAATTAGTGAGAGCTAAAAAACAGGTGGCTATTACTACATGACCTAGGGTGAACTAGCCTGCAAATCTGCACAGGTCTGTTCTTAGGGTAGATGAAAAAATAGACAATGACCGTCAAAGGATTATGTGAGCGTCGAGCCAATTAAAAAAAACTGAGGACGGCCGTAATATTTTTTTTAGGTACGTGTCAACGTAGTAGAAGTACCTATTTATAAATATTTTGTAGTTTATTATGACGCCGCTCGCGATGGACAAAACAGTACTAAGTGTCTGTTAAGTTAAATGGCAGTTTACATTCCAATTGCCATAGGAAATGGTTTTTTTTTTCATGTTAATTATACAACGAATATGCTAAATCAGTCATGTCAATGTTACGGCCCGCGGACCGGATCCGACCCGCGATCACAATGTATCACAGAAAGGATCTTGTTTTTTTTTATATTATGAACTATACTCGAAGCCTCTATGGAAGTTTAGAAATGCGGGCGCTTTGTTTATTTAATAAGTAATTTCAATAGAAGCACATGCCTAGACGAACTCACTTTATGTTAATATTTGACTGCCTACACATTCTAAATCTAAATATGACCCTCTGTCAATTTGAGTTTAACGCCCCTGCCCTAAGTATTCTTTTTAACTTGAGGTTATTTTCATTATCATAAAGTGTTTTCATAATCATATGTTGACATAGGCTATAATTTAAGAGTGCGAAGTCACAGAAAAACAAGTAGTGTCCCTACGTCGTTTATTAATTACTTAACGAAAGTTAAGTTATAATATTTTGTAACAGGTTTTGTTTGTAAGGAGTATATTAAGAGGGGCAGTAGTTGCTCATTTTATCTACTTCAAACCTGAATAAATGATACTGAATTTGTTTTTTTTAACCTCCGATGTAAGGATAGCAAAAAAAGTGTAGGAAAAACTTATGTATCGTCCTTAATTGGTCCGTCTGACGTAGTATATACTTATAGTTTTGAAGGTATTAAAGAAATATACGAAGAACCATTTTCATTATTTGTGCTGATCCCGCACACGAGCCCAGCTCACTCTTGGCCGATTTTTTCGATACTTTTCCTTAAATAGACATCTCTACTCGCTCTATTAATTTAACCAGCCTTTTAATATACCCATTGACTGCTTGGGCACAAGCCTTCCCTATGTATGGAATCGAAATGAGGAGTATTGGCCACGAACAACCATGCGGACCCAATGTGGATTGGTGGTTATTAACGACTGCTGGTACAGTCGGGAACAACAGATTAACGTGCTTTATGAAGTACGGAGGAGGTCGGTTAACAGTGGCGTAACTACAAGGTGACAAGTCGGCAAAATGCCACGGGCCCCCAGCTGAAAGGGGGCCCCCGGTAAGAGGAGACATTTATTATTACACGATTAGTAAAAAAAAAATAGAATGTCAGATGAATATGCCACGGGCCTCAAACGGTATAGTTACGGCTTTGTCAGTTAATAAATTTTTACTACACCAACCTACCTTAAGGGATACCTTGCGTCAGTTGCTTAAATCCCGAGTATAGTCTCCGCTCTAGTCGTTATGAATAGGGTCAGTTAGTAAACTATGTTAATCGAATTAATTGACGTTACTGTGATTTGATCACCTTATGTTACTTAAATATGATTTCTTACTAATTTCTATTTAATCGCGTTAATACCCGTCTTATACAATCTATACTCCATTCATTATAGCTTTAGACAGAAGTTAAATAAGGTTCTTTTTATGGTATACTTTGTGACAAAATATCAATAATCATGTTACTATTAAGACTGACGGCTATTTTACTACATATCCACTTAAATACTAGCTGCATTACTTAACTGTTGTCATTTAAGCTATCTACAGAACAAATTTATATATAATTTGACTAACCTAAATTATTTAATAACTATAACAATAAATAGTGTTCATCTTAAAGAACCTAAAGCAGGGTTAGATAGTTTCGGCACGATTCATATGTCATTATAACCTTTGACATTTCAGGAAGTTTTTCCAATGTCTTTATCAATAGTCCGTCTAATAATGTTCGAATAAATGTTATAAAAGTAATAATAAAAATTTCATTTTGTTTACCTTTCTTTCCTGGGCATAGATATAACTAAATTTTATTCTAATTATATACAGTTACAATTAGAATTTAACAAAACAACAGATAAATAGTTTTAGTTATACTTTGGCTTGAGAGAAAAAGATGAATTTAGAAAATGCTTGTCTCATCTCAACCCAGAGGTATCGTAAAAAGTGAAAAATTGCCCAGCTCTTTCAGACTACATAATGTTCAAAGTTTCAACAAAAATATATATTTTTAATTTATCTTGAAAATAAAATGTTCTGCACTGCTGTTTCTATGACCCTCTATTTTCTAATGTTAAAATGAATGGAGTATAATTAAATATTCATACAAAAATTTACTTCTAATATTTTAAAATTTTAATACTAAGTTATATTGAATTTCAACTATGATTTAACAATATAATGGAAAACATAAAAAAAATCATTGTTAAAATCAACTTGTATAAATAAAAGTGACACGTGTAATTTTACATTGTATTAATGTTTATTTTGAAGTGTATATTAATTTGGTAGCTACATAATTTTTGTTCACGTCTTAATTAATGAATCTAAGATAATTTATATCTAGAAATGGTATGTCTAGGACGCACTCACAACAAAATGACGTTCAATTAAAACATATTGATAAGCGAATCGCAAATTTAGAGAGGTCTTTGCACTGGCATGAACTCGCCAGCGTAGTCATCTGATAAACATTATGGAACAACAGTAGCAATTACTACTCGTACGAATTACGGCCCTCTTGTATCTCCGCTTATAAATGCGCAAACAAATTCGATACAATTTTAATCGCAGAAAAAAAAAATGCTGTTATGAATAAAACTCTTTTGTTTACTTGTCATAAAATCAATCCAAAAAACCTATTTCTAGTTATTTGTTTCTGTTTTTAGCAATTATCATAAAATGGTTTAATTTGGCAAATATTAGCATAGCCTTAGAAAAAAAAATGTTTAAAAAGTGTTAATTTCGTACAACCTCGCTTTGACATGACACCCGAAGGTTAGTGCCTATTACATAGTATATTTTTAAAAACAAAAAATGTCTACATTCGAAATGCTAATACGACTCCAAAGAAACTCATCTGTCCATAATTTATAATGCAAAATAGGTAGAATTTAACACTGCCTTTTACGCACAGATAATCTTCCCGGGTAGAATTTTATTATTCTACTAGTGGCCGCCAGCGACTTCGTCCGCGTTTTCCATTATTTCTTCGCTCCTTATAGTTGCAGCGTGATGTTATATAGCCTAAGCCTACCTCGATAAATGATCTATTCAACACAAAAACAATTTTTCAATTCGAACCAGTAGTTCCTGAGATTAGCGCGTTCAAACAAACAAACTCTTCAGCTTTATAATATTAGTATATATTTAAGAGAGCTAGCTCGATAATATTTCCTGTGCCATTGGGATTTGATTCTTCAGAGAGTTGAAAATGATCCGTGGTTTCATCCATATGTGGATCCGCGCCTGATAAGAACGATAGGTAATTTTCTGAATTTTAGTATTAAGACATTATGTGGATATAATGTTATGACAAACGTATCTTTAAATCTTTAAAAATATTAACTTTACGTTGATTATAACATTTCAAAAAGTCATTAAAATCGTAAAACAAAAAAGTGTCACTTTAAGCAGGCCACAGATGTATATATACGCAATACCAGATATCTATAGATATTGGTTTCTGATATCACTCCACGGAGCGCGAAATATAAAAATAACTGTTATTGGATATGTATTATGTTTTTTAATAAGTCGTCTAAAAATTAGAAATGTTCTATTTATATGGTTGTGTGATAAGCGCTTTTTATAGTGTTAAGTGCCCTGTAAACGATCAAACTGCTTGTCAAACTTTACGTGCTTGACAAACCTTTTGATAGTGTGCAGCTACGCTTGATGCGCTTGTCAAACAATCTACGTGTTTGACGTGTTTGATGAAAATCTAGATTGAAGTCGTGCTTGACAAACAAGTTTGTACGTGAACGGTGGTGTTTGTCAAGCAGGATATCAGTCGTTGTGTTGCATCTTGGAAGACGGTAGGTACCCCAAATAAAAAAAAATACAATGGAAAGTGACGATATTATTACGGATAAAAAATTAAATTTTTAAGTAAAATCTAAAGATTATATGGTCAAGAACAAGAGAAGCATAGCATTAAAAAAAAATACTTTACTGAAAATGTATCGCCCGAACATTACGAATGAAAAGAAGAAAAAGATTAATATAACGAAAATAACAAAGTAAACCGAAACTAAACAAATTTGTTTGATCTTTGGCTTGATCGTATGCGCTGTTAATTGATGAAAACGTAAAGTTTGACAAGCAATTTTGTCAAGCAAGTTTGATCGTTTACAGGGGGCTTTACATAATACTTAAAATGAGAAGGGAATGCATGTGCTGTGAATTGTGTAATGTATTCAAATGTATGACTATTATATCTAATACTAGCTTTTGCCCGCGCCTTCGGCCGCGTGGTCTAGTTTTAAGTCCAGACAAATATATATATTATAATCACAAATATATATATTGGATACACAGATGTCATGTTAATTATACATAATTGTTATATTTTTACAGTCTTACCTCCAAGAGCGTACAGCGATAAGTCCTTGGAATCATAGTTGTAATCCTTCCAATATGTATATCTGTCACCGTCCAACTTGGCCCGATTTTCAAATACCTATTGTTTAATCATATTTTCATAAGATCTTCACAATAATTAGGACAGTCATGTTAAATTTTAATAAGAACAACATAAACTTAAAGTAAAAAAATTAGGTACGACGATATAAATAAGTCGGAGATTACGAATTCAGTAGGCTAATCCCAAGTGGCAGTGTGTTTTTCTTTATCTCCTGCATCAATGCGTTATTATGTATTTTTCTATAAAGCAAATTCATCAAAGAGATTATATAAAAGAAATGTATCTACAATTACCGTTTAATCAGTTACAAAACAGTATCTAAGGTGCACTGTCTAATAAATTAATCTTTACAAATATATACTAATAACATAAAGGAAAAAATTTGATCGTTTGCATCGATCAGGCTCTGAAACTAGTGGAGCGATTTAAAAAATTCCCTCAACTAGAATATTATTTTTATATTACAATATGTTTGCATAAAACTACAATGTCAACTGTCGTCGTATTTTGCTTCTTTTTGTATAATCCTACTAATATTAAAAATGCGAATGTTTCTGAGATTGTATGTCAACGGCGGACTAATCATATCGGAGGCCCAGGGCGGCAATAAGCCCAGATCGACAAGTTTTTCCAACTGGGGTAGAAACTTAATAATGCATTTACAACCCCTACTCCAATAATTCATACATTTTTAACTTTATTATATTATTATGATTTTGGCGGATAGCTACAGCCATTCGGAGACCCCCCAAGACCGGAGGCCCGGAGCGAACCGCCCTACCTCCTTAGTCCGCCACTGATGTATGTTTGTTAGTCTTTCGACATGTAAATCAGCATTTCTTTGATACCTGTAAGCGGTCTGCCAAGTCCATAGAAACTTCTGCGATCTTATCTATATGCTTTGCACCATTCATATCCACCACCTTGGGCCAGAAGTCCTTCACAGACTCAATGGTAACGGGGTCAGAAGGCTTCTTCCTATTGAACATAAAAAATTACATCGTCGAAAACAAAATATATTTCTTATTCTATTATATGTAGCTCCTATTCCGTCATATTGCCTAATTTAGCATTTAGTAAATTTTATTAATAATGCTTTATGAGGTACATAAAACAACACTAAAAAGTATTTAAAATAACAAGTAACTAATTTTGGTTCCATTTAAATTCAGTTTTAAAATCTTTCAAGCAGTCCATTTTTAATTTGGAATTTGAAATATGACATCACTAAACTAATAACTTCTCCCACCCCACGTCACATAATATTGCTCTTTGTTGACCCCCTGCTTCTCCGTTAATGCGATGTAATTCATGAATGACTCCCCTAAAAGGAAACTGCCAACAAAAACATTCAACGAAAAATAGTTACATATTATTTTATCACTATCAAGATTAATTTACAACAACTATGTTTATCAGAATTAATTATAATAGGTACAATTTAGATAAAATTTATTTGTATAGCCATACTTAAACTTTAATTGATGTTTAAAAACAACATAATAAGCACTTACTTTAGAGGAGTACCAACGCTTTTCACGAAATGGACTTTAGATGCATAACCCAGAGTAGAGTCTATAACGTGACCAGTTCCATCAAACGATTCGTGAGACATATATGCCTAGGATCAAAGAAGACGCTTATTTTATTACCCATAAATTTAAATGACGTTTATGAAGCTCGATAAAATAATTTTCCGGTCACCTATCCCAAAAGTGACCATTACAAAAGTTGCTTATTCTCTGTAATTGCTACCCGACCGCGAAACATAAATGAAGATTTTAATCAGTAAGTGTTATTAAATGCATGTTTGCATACATTTTCGTATTAAGTAAAATCTCAAATACACTATAACTATGAGTTGTAGGTAATGGTTCCAAAGCAATAACTTTGCATCGTAAATCGTCTTTATATACAAAACGATAGAATTCAATATCATTTCTAAAGTTATACAAGCCGAAACTAATATTAAAATAAAAAAAATGTGTTAAGTCGTGTCTGACTTCCTTAATGACTTCACTCCTGTTACTTATTACATTACAACATGAATTGGTTTTGCGTGCAACAAAAATAATTACTGTGGTGTAACATAACATAATACCTAACTGTCATAAACTGAAAAACACATGCTGTAGATTTATTTTATCTTCAAATATCAAAATATTTTACTATTCTAGTTAGAAGCAAATCCAACAAACCATATCTAAGTGTTTGTTTTTTAATTATGTAACTAATTTATATATCTATATCTTCACGCCGTATTCCTGGCGGAGTAGGCAAAATATAAAAGATAGTTAGATAGCTGTTGTAACTAACGTGAATTTGAGCATATTAAAGGTAAATCAGAACAGAACGTGTCGAGTGAAGCGAAAAAAAATAAATTTTGGAATTCTTCGTATAGACTTTTGAAACATCGTAAGCATACAGTCGGCCAAAAATATGGTCTACTGCCCTGTTGTTCATTTGAACTTCGTCGTGATAAAACAGGGTCGGATTCCGCTTGTTAACATGACAGTGTCCATTTCTTCAAATGTCAGACAGAGCTTCAAAATTTCATTGGTCAACCTAAGCGAATAATCTCAATCAATCATTCACACACAGTAATCAATCACAGAGACTCCCGTCAAAACTATTGGACGACTGTACGCGCCGAATCGTCATAATTCTTGTCACCTGTCATAATTCGCAAGGATTTATCAATTTTTCGTCGGAGGAAATAAGATTCACCCGCCGTTGTCGGCTTTAATATATTTGCGAGCACGGTCTGTTATATATGTGGTAAACTTACGACAACTGGAGCGATGAGGTCAGGCTTCATTGCCTGGAACATATCAGGCGGAAGAATGTCTTCGGTTAGACGAGAGGCTGCTGTGGGAACTATGGTGTTCACCTTGATGTTATACTTTGCACCCTCCAGTGCCAACGCGTAGCAGAAACCGACTAAGCCAAGCTTAGCAGCGCTGTACAATAATATAAAACTATCTATAAAGCTTGGCTACAGTGGCCAATTCACTAGACTTGCATGCCTGCGGGCAAATCTGCAGGCATGCCCACGGCAAGTCTGCAGCCATGTCCGCCGGACCTTGCTACTATAGGTGTCAAGACTGCGACAGTCCCACATTAGCCAGACATGCCCGCCCTATAGTAATAACTTGCCCGCAGACATGTACTGATAGACACATAATAAAACTAAATCTTTTATCTTCAGCAGAATTAAATTATAATTATCAATGACGAGGGTAAGCAAAATATTTGGATGCAAATTAATATTAAAACAATTTAAATACTGTTTCTGATCATTAATTATTCGCATTTTAAATAATACGAAGTCTTTGTCGCTCTGAGGCGGTTCTTATGATCAACCGTTTCAGTTTAAAGGAATTTTAAACAACATATCAAATTAATTAAGTTTCATTGTTAAGAACTTGCCTGTAATTAGTTTGGCCGAAGTTGCCATATATGCCAGCATTGCTTGAGGTCATGATGATGCGGCCATAGTTTTGCTTCCTGAAATATTCCCACGCCGCATGCGTCGTCTTGTACGCACCTTTTAAATGGACAGCGTGGACTAAATCCCAGTCCTAAAACAGATAATCATATTACCTATTTGTTTAAGGTTTTGTAGCAATTCTGTTGCACAAACGAGGCTAAAATTAGCTAAAATAAGCTGCTAACTGCAATTGTAATTATTTAAAACAAAAGATAACAAGAGTATACTTATTAAATTACAGTATATGGGATTATAATTAAAATTTGATAGGCACAGAACTGCACACTATAAGACATGATTTTTAAGACCCTGAACTTCTTACATATTTCTCTGTCCAAAGCAAAAAACAAAACCACAAAAACTTTATGGACTATGACTACAACGAAAATTAAAAGAAGCAAACTTTATAAGTTTTATCAGTATTTGTTTCTGAATCTTCACATAAAAGTTGATTTTTTATTTCCTAGGTTAGCAGCTGATCAAACTAATGGCTCTCTTAGGGGCCATCCATAAATTACGTCACACGTTAGGAGGCGGGGCGTGGGGTTCGGCGAACTGTGACATTAGAACAATATTTAGTAGAATTTGTATAAACAAGCAGGTGCCAGGATGGGGGGGGGGGCTTGGCAAAGTTCATACTCTTGCTTTTGTACAAGGACATAATGATCGACCACTCTTCTCCAGTCCTTCCAACAAAAAATGCAGAGGAAATAGAAACCACAAAGCAACCCATATTCCTTTTTTATATAAAACTATTATAGAATTGAAACATACATTAAACAATAATCTTATATTGAGCTCAGTAGCTGATACAGAGTGAATTAATGTCTCCTGGCGATCCAACTACCCACCTACATTATTTTTTCATCATAGAAAACAATGAAGTGAAGTAAATAACCTACTAATGCCAAGAACAGTTAAAGTTTAACCAGAAACAAAACCCAACTGGGTACTGAAGCCAGGAACTAAAATATGGCTGGCAATAAGTTAACCTTCCCTTTAAGGGGGTTGTTCTATATCAGTATTTTCCACCTTTTTCATGATGTGAAAGGTATGAAAAATATTTCGCGACCCCCCGGCCCTTCGTTTTTTTTATAATGTATTTATGTGTACATAATTAAACGAATGGATATAAGTACATAATATAATTCGTAAAACACATTATTTTACACTGACATACATCCAATACGTCACCAATTAATATATTGTCACACATATATACACGTACGTACGACCGGCTAGCTTGCGAGTTGCTGAGAGTGAGCGAGCGTTGCGGGGCGGGGGGGGCTGGTCGCGGGACTAAGCGATACTCACTCAGTTCACGTCGACGGTTCAATTGTTTGACGACATACAGATGGGAGAAATTGATAAAACAAAAACAAGCACAATCTTCGCATTAACAAGAGTCATAGAATTTTATTTTTTGTTAATTTGTTTGTATTAACATACAAATATTTATGAGTATATCTTTTTGTTAAAATTCTCCTACTTAATAAAGCAATCTTTTTAATCTTTATTGGTTTTTACTAAAGTTCTCTCGACCTATGGCGACCAGATTCAGAAGCTCCGCGACCCCCCGAGCGGTCGCGACCCACAGGTTGAAAAACACTGTTCTATATTATTTATTTGATAACATATTTATGAATGCATTCTGCATTTGTAGGATATTCTAATACGTACTCAGCCAGTTGCACAAACATGCATTAAAATTGTCATTAGTATAAAGCAATATATCCCATACAAATTTTACATTCATTAGAGCTTAAAGGCGTCATTGAACATTAATGGATGTTTGTGCAACTGACTGTCACATACCTGTTCAGATAATTTTAAGAAGCTCTTGTCACGCAAAATGCCGGCATTATTGATAAGTATATCAATTCTGCCAAAGTTATCAATGGCAGTCTTTATGATTTTCTCTCCATTTACTACCGAATTGTAATCAGCAACGGCAACACCACCTGATAAAAAAAACCATTTCTAAGTCTTGATTAAAGTATAGGTATATATTGATATAATGGTTGTTTATTATGATCACTAAATATGATTGTGTAATAGAGATGATAACCACTTCTATTATGTACTATAACATAACAAATTGCTAAATATACCTACAAGAAATTTGTATGAAAGATATTATTATAAATCTAATGCTGTGTTTATTGAGACACTTGCAGTTCAATAAATACTCTTCAGTTTTTGGTCTTCGAATTTGTGACATTTTATATTGTAAATGTCATTACCTTTGATAAAGAGCTGGTAAGTTTCTTTCGCTTGTTCTTCTTGTCAGCTAAAAGACGTCCTGAACAAGTGGTAGGGGAAAAGAATTTTTTTGGACAATTCAGAAGGCTATTACAGCCTACTTGAATAAAGATATTTTCATTTAATTTTCATATCATGACATTAAGACAGGTACTGTCTATAGAAATTAAAACTTTAATTTTTTTAATTATGTTATTCCATAAATCCAATTAATTCCAATCAGAATATTTTTTTATGAAGCTTTAACTTTAAGTCTTTGAATATATATATAAATGTGCTTACCAGAGTTGTTCCTACAGAGGGTTTTCCTATATCAGCAGATTTGAATAAACTAAATGTAAAGGTCTTTGTTGCAATTATAATGTCAAAAAATAAATATGATTACAGTATAATTTGAAAGATTTAAAATATTTTTCCCAAAACAATAACATAATCAATTAACACAGGCAAAGTTGAGAGAGAACAGCTAGTATTTAATATTCTACAATAATCTTCCTGACGAACAGACAAACAAAATAACATCATTCACCCTATTGACATTGACAGCCTCAAGCAAATTAGGCTGAAAAAACAAGCTAATGAGGTCTTGCCTTCAAAGAAGATATTATGTTATGAATTGAATGTCAGCATTGATTGATGCTGGTGCAGATGCTTATATTGAGTTGATAATCAGGGTATGTTGATGCTGATATTCGCAACAACCCTGGTACCTACCAAGTTCCAGAGAAATATCCATATAAATGTTTGTTTCAGATCAATGATCCTAATTTGATATTCCTACTCTTATCACTATTCATCAACATAACATTAATGTATATCTAGCATTTGACTACTTTTGTAACCAAATAGTATGTACTGCTAGTTTCAAGGTGTCATCTTTACTGTTCTTGGTTTCTATTACTGGTCAGTTCAACAACTGGTAACATTTGTTGTTTCTGTCATTCTATAGTACAAGTGCTTTTCAGCTATCCACCCAGCCAAAGTTTAACCTTAGAATATGGGCATGTATGTGATGATATCTATTAAACATATAATATTTTTATGAAAGATAATATTTAATAAATATTACAATATTGTAAGCGAAATGTAACATTTTTGTCCTGTGTTGAATGCTTGTTTCAATAAAGCAAACTTAACACTGTTTTTAAATATGTAGCTATGGATGTATCAAAAAAAGGCTACAAAGGATAAAAAGAAAATTAAAACAAAATGTTACCTTTGTCCCTAATTTCTTTGACAACAGTATCTGCAAAATTCGACTTTCCGACTCCATCTCTGGCACTACCAAGATCGTTAACTACGACTTTAGCTCCTCTTGCAGCAAGAAGCAAAGCATACTCTTTACCAAGACCCCCACCAGCACCAGTGATCACAGCAACACGTCCGTCAAATCGAAGTAAATCCATCCTAGCTAGCCGGCTGACAAATCCAAAATGACAAACAAGTTTCAACTTACTATTCTACTAGTAAGATAGGTAGGTAACATAAAGATAAATTATACATTTGAAACGTAATGCTTGTCATCCTACTCTTTGATAACTTGTTTATCATGTCACGTGGTATAAGAACTGTAAAATGCTAATGCGTTGAAACCCATAGAGTACTTATTAATTCTATGTTGAAACCTTGTCTAAATAACATCATATGAAAATAGAAAGTATAGATAGCACAAAAGGCAAGAGATACGTAATATATTAATTATTGAATTATTTATTATGAATAACCACCAAAATATACTGATAATAATTTAATAAATTTTGTTTGTTAATTTATGTCATGATTTTTTGGAGAAGAATCAATAATGAATAACATTCACTTTGTAATAACGCGATAAAAACCGGAAGAGACATTTTTTAAAACATAACCAAAAGTAATAATGAAATGAGAGACATTAGTTATATTTATTAATTTATAAGTGAAATTATGTTTTAAATTAAAAATAATAATAGCAGGTACTATGTTAGTTCACCATGTTATGGTAACAACAAAACTTTTCACAACTTATCAATAACAATCGAAACCAATAAAGACAACAAAATTGATGTGTTATCTCGACATAACCCAATGAGAAAGTATTTAAATAAAGCGAAAGCACTAAAAAAGCACCTCCACTAGATGGCGACTAGCAAAAGTTGATTTTTGCAGGGAAGGAATGGACCAAAAACAGTAGTATTATAATTCGTCCATGGGATAGGCGAAGGAGGACCAAAAACAGTCATTTCCGTTCCTAACATATTAAAAAACTGAAATTTGAAAAGTTCGAAACTCAGATATCAATACAAATACGAAAAAATACAAATAGAACATGAGTCGTTTATTGAGTTTCGAAAACGAATTTATTTTTAAACATGAAGGAAAAACGGTGGTCATAGAGAAATCAAGAACGTACCGTAGCGACATCTACTTTGATTTCGGGAACTAATTTTTTTTTTAAAACTTCCTCATTAGACTATGAAGTCACTTTCTATGACTTCCTGAGTCCCAATATAACAAATAAATAAGTTGTTGGTGCGACCAGATGTTCTATAAAAAGAACGAATCTTTTATCATCACTTAGTCCTAAACTTTGGAATCAATAAAATTTCATTATTAATAAAAAATACACTATATAATGTCCCATGCAGACGGCTAATCTATGTCAAAATTTGTCGAGATAGGAATTTAGTCAGGAGTTCGGTCAATGCAAGATGCAGTCATTGAAAATTGTTAATTACAATGTTTATTATATTAAAAATATTTGAAGTATTAAAATTTCCCGATTTGCCATCTAGATTCGGGTACACTTTTATGGGAAATAATCTAGGCTGTATATATTGGATCTCTTTATCTATTAGTATAAAAATAACCTTCAAATCAAATTTCTCTATGAACTAACCGTCATTAGTATTTTTCAAATATATTTTTTAAATTATTTTTTTGGTTGAGCTATAGAAAACGCCAAATGAGGATTGAAATTTGGTTACGTGTGACAACATAAAAATTTGAATTATCTGATCTTACATTTTTTATTGTTTAATGATTAATATACCTATGTATGTTTAGGTAATGTTAAAAGTTACACATATCAAGCGACTCGGATAACGTACTACCGAGCGAGTTTTTAAATTAAATCATCTGTGCAGATAATGTCTAACTATCGTGTTCGTGCTGCTTATTCTGATCCTTTAGCGAGTAATGTGTATTTTATTTTAAATTGCATTTTTTACATACTATTGCGGTTATCCTTAACGAAAACCACAAAAGAAGGCATATACTTACTAATAATGGGAATCTTTGTTTCTTTAGTTATATACAACGAAGGACAGTGGCGGCTAAACCATCTCTCACCTTTGCACAATTTACAATACTCTCTAGTAAAATTAAAACAGTACGCTTCCAAAATTCGTCAAGTGCTAGTAAGCTCAGTTACAGCAAAATGCCTGAAATATTCGGTATTATTTGAAGAACAGCCCTATCTCAAGTACTGCGAAGATGATTCTAATGGTTTATTAGTAAGTCAATTCAAATTCAAAATTATTTCATGGCCTCTTTTTTTTTAAACTGCTTTTGAATGAAAGATTTATAGTATGGCATTAGAAATGCATTTCTGCTTTCAACATAGTCATATTAAATTTAAAACGCTTTTGGAAGGAATTAATGTACCTTCAAACATAATCCAGGTTTTGCAGTTTAAATATGCTGCATTTAATTTAATGCTGCAAATTATTTAATTGTATTTTCAGTTAACTGTATCATCATCTCAAGAACAAAGCAACAATACTAAAGTAGTATATTCAGCTGTTTTCCTATCATGGGGTGTAAGCAGTAAATTAAAGAATGCTATACATTTGCCATACATGTTAGAGAAAGGTGATCAGAAAGTTGGAGGTGCAGTGAAGACTATATTACAAAACATATTTGATTGTATCATTGAGCAGTTTTGTTTTACTCAGGTACAACATTTTTAACATTATAAAATTATTTTGACTCTGATACAATTTCTAATGCAAGGTCAATTATTTGTGAAAATTTTAAACTTTGAGGGAACAATAGATTTAATATGAGAAATTGTTAGGATAGGTTATGTAGGTATATAGGCAACTTCTGCACTTACGTTATTGGTTGTTTATATGAAAAATTGGCTGTTCTTACAGCCAAAACTACTTTGCTCAAAAACATAGCTGCATAATGATCCTCACACTGATGACTTGCCGACTCGTATTCCAGGATTGCATGTGTAACAGTTTCATTTTGTCATTTTCTGTTGAATGAAAAAGTCAAATCAAATGAGGCTTAGCATTATTTCTAATGAGGTTATTTGCATAATGCTATCTGAATTCCCATTTAACTATAAAATTACTTTGCAAATTTGAAAATGGATTTAAAAAATGTTTGTGGTTTATTAACTGTTCTTTGGAATGATTTTTTTTTGGTGATTATGCGCTGCAGCAGTGTTGTAAACTTATTGTTCCATTTATCACTGAAATGAGTTTACCAGTTCATATTGGAAACAGAAATGGCAGAAGCTGACCTAGAATTACTTAGAAATATGATTCAGAGATCCTCCTCTTTGAAGATTGAAAAATCTGTTAATGACTATAATTTACTAAAAGTTTCATGGTGACAATGAGTGGTTGTAGTGAAATACAATGGATTTTATTACATGTTTTAGCATCAGTTACTGCAGTTTGGATTCAGTTTTGTTGAAAATGATACCTCACGAAGTTCGGATTGTTTCACTTTAACATATAAAACTCCTCAAGTAAAACACAAAGATAAATTAAATTTGTCTTTTGACTTGGGAGACCTGCACATCATTTGGAATGGGTAACTATTACAACCTAATTAATTTTAAATCTAGTTTGCACTTGTAATAATGTTGTATTGTTGTTATCTTTTAGTTTAAAAGAAGAAGATACAAAAAAGTCAGAAGTGATAAACCTGGCATATCAAATACTTCAAAATCAAATATTTTATATGATCAGGTTGGATATTACAGTTTTTGACTTGTATAAAGTGACTTTACCAAAGGCAGAAGTTAAAAGCAGTGGAATTGTTAAAATGAAAACACCAGAAGTTGTCAACTGTGTATTTACAGTGCTGAATGAAATAACCTCCATTCCAGATAACTCTGATATCGAATCCTGTTAATGACTTTAAAAATCAATTTTTAAATTGAATTTGATACAATTAGGTGGTGATGACAAACTTCTTTTAATAAAAACCCAGTTGGTTTTCAACATTTACTCTCATGAATTACACCTTATAATGTGTTTGCATATTGTAACCTTACAAAATATTTTATGATATCATTACAATGTGCTAAACTTAAAAGTAATCTATTTTGTAATCACATCTTTCATTTTCTTGCAAGCAGTCCTTATCATTCCTAGAAAATTCAAGATTTTTTGTAGTATGATTTTACTTGTGCAACATTATAAATAGGCCAAGATCTAGAATTTTATTTGGCAATGTTTTTAAAATATTAGCATATTAGCAATCAAATCACAGTTATATAAAAGAATCTGTATAGAGAACATATTCATTGTATACAGGAATTTTTAAAATTATAATAACATATTTTTAACATCTCAAACAATTGTAGAAAATTAGATTTAAATATAATGATGTTTTGACAATAATTAATTTTATATGGTGTTGCAAAAGCCAATCATCGAAAAAACATTATATAAAACGATGTCAATATTATTCGCGTTAAGAACTTATTGAGCCGAAATTAGACATATCATTTTCGTTGTTTCATCTATGAAATCTTGAACACGAAGTTTCATCATTGCTGAAGCGCCACATAAAAAATCGTTTACTATTCATCGTGCATTGACAGTGAATGATTTTTTATGAAACATCTAATTTCGGCTTTATGGTAAGACCAAATATCTGGTAACAAATGGATTATAAACTATATCAGTCTTATTATAAAACAAGGAAAAAATAGTTTAAAAATTGATGATAGCACGAGAAAAAACTTTAAATTGAAAGCTTTTGACTTATTTTGATCAGATAATGGTTTAAACCTGGTAGTAAAAGTTAGTCCTCATTTTATAATAAGACCATATACACTGAACCAAAGTATTATGCCAATTTACACGTCTTACATTTCATCCAGTGATAATAAAATAAAAACAATCATTGGACTACATAACATAGATACACAATATTTAAAGGATTTTTTTATACTACACTCTTGAAGCTTCAACAAGGGTAAAAGTTGCTTTAATTCTAGCTATTTCAAAAACAGGTTAATAATATTGAAAAAAATCATCCATCACCAATTAATAGTTTTTCCTGGAAATGTGTTGGTAATATTTTATGTATGAAAACCATTATTCCCGGTGTTTATACTATTCCGAATTCCGGTTATAAAAGGTTGACCAAAGAGTATACTTTGTCTCTCATGAAAATATCCACCCAAATGACTGACTGACTATGACTGATGCAGAATCACCACGTTTTGCAAAGATTAAACAAAAATAAGACTGATTTCACGTTTACGCCTTGCAAGTGTAGTATAAATATAATTTAAGGTAAGTATTGATTACTTACTTAATTCGTGTAGTTTAAGACACTGCGTTGGTTAAGTAAGCCTTTACTCCCCTAGTAGAATAAATAACTATTTTAAATGCCAGATTAATATTATGAAACCTTGACATATTTTCAAATAATATATACACCAACACACAAAACATACAAAGTTACTACCATTATACATGTAAATTTGGTTGGAATTTCATATGAAAGTATGTATTTAGTTAAGGTTTACTATGAAAGGATAAGCTATTTTACATTTTTTTATTAAGGTAATATTTTTTTCAATTCATGTTATTTGTTCAAACTATAATCGTTCTGAACTTACGCTTATAATATACATTTAACTATGGGTACTGTTGTTTTTGTGAAACATTAATACTCATTACATCCTAGAAGAAATACAGGAAATCATCTTGTTAATTAATTAGAATAATTAAATACGCTGAAGCCGTAATAGGAAACATGTATTTAGAACATAAGCAATCAAATATAATTTAATAACGCAAGTTGTAGAATACTGTCATTCATAAAAATAAAAATATTATGTACTTTACACAATTTGTCAAATTCTGCAGTCGATTTTGTACTCTACCCAGAATGTAATAAAGTTTAAAATAAAGTAGAGATATTTTATAGTTTATATAACCTGACGTGCTGATGACAGTACTAATGTCTTTTTCATTATGGTAATAAATTGTTACAATTTATGTTTCTTGTTCAAATACGGTAATCAACTTGAACTTTTACTTATATTATACAGTTGATGGATAATGTCGTTTTTGTGAAATATTAAGACTACTTTCATCCTAGATTAAATACAGGCAAATTGTCTCTCGTAAATAACTAGTTAATTAAATATGCTGAAGCCATAATAGGAAACTTTTATTTGAACTCTTAAGGAATTCCAAATATAATTTAATAAAGAAAGTTGTAAAATACTGTGTTTCAAAGATTTATATGATTTTTATATTATAATTTCAAATTCCCGTTTCTTTTTCTGATGTTTTGAAAGTCAATAGAGTGATCGTCTAGTTGAAGTTCTTTATGTAGATTTTATTTGTCCTAAGATTAAAAAAAAAACACTGCCTTTGGTCCATTTTGATTTCCACTTACTTTACATATATTACTAACTTCTGGCATTATTTTTAGTACTTTTATTAATTAATACTTCTCATGAATCGTCACGTAACGACGTCATATCTCTTATATTCATGGGGATTTTTGACAAAATGTAGCTATTAGTAGATTAAACTAATACGTCGATGTTTCAGAAATTACACTTTATTTAAAAGTTTAATTTATTTAAAATAAAAAAATATACATATTGGTTCTCAACTACTATGAAAGTAAAATATTTTGTAAAGTATACTTTTTAATTACCACTATTTTTTGCGTAATTAGAAAAAAAAACAAGATAATGCAAGTTCCATTATGCTGTAATGTAGGATCTGAGATTATGTGTGCTTCAGAAGCAGTGTCTTCTGATTATTCATATTCAACCAAATTGGTTGAATATGAAAAATCAGAAGACCTTTTAGCCCTATCACTGTAAGTGACTTCGCCGGCGTTCGTTTATCATTCATTCTAGCGGAAGACTTCTTCGGATGTTCTTTCTAGAGATGCGCATCCGATACTGATATATCGACTATATTGCGAGTTTTCCGATATATCGGAATCAACGATATTAATTTTATGATACATCGACACAAATTTTCTACGCTAAATAACCCATCTGAACGTCTGCTTCATAGCCGATTCCGCTAGTTGCTTGTTGTGCAACAATTTTTATTTGTTAGTATTTTATTTTTTAAACAATTCGAGCTTTCTTTAATCTTGGCTGGGAGTATCGGCGATTCTTTTTATAAATATCGATAGATATCGTATCGGGCGTAGCGCTTTTAGATGCATCCCTAGTTTTTCAAAGCATAATGTTCAACCTTTCTATGCGAATACAAGAGTTAAAACAACGTTTTACTGTAACAAGAACCACAGTCTTGTGTATGTGAAGTGAGCTATTGAGACTAGTAGGACGAGAAATGCAGTTAACCATAGTCTCTGTAATTAAATAGAAAATACGGTATTATATAAAATAGAGCCATAGTAGTGTCCTGCTAGCTTAATCCGTTGAGCCTCTTAAGATAGTAAAGAGTAGGGTGGTAAATATGAGTTTCATCGGTCGATGTTGCTTGCTAATAATAATCACGTCAAAAATTGTTTAGAATTTCAGTTTTTAAAATATCGCTAGGGGCGTTGTGCCAGTTTCTATATTAAAATTTACGTCATCGTTTGCTAATGTCAACGTCAGAATTCATACGACGCACCCTGTGTAACATTTTATATTAATTTGACGTATCTACGATCAGTGGCGTAGCGGTTGGGGGTGGGGGCGAATTTCACAGTAAACGAGGATTCCCCTTATTTTATTTTGGGCTTGAATTGTTTATCACTGCATCAGCAAGCATATCAGCAAAAAAGACTTCTATTACATATATATTAAGTTCAATATTGTTTATTACGTCCCTAAGTAAGAAAGATAGTGATGCTTTGACAATTCAAAGAAAGTTTTATTAATGGATCTTCAGTTGTTTAGTTCATTTTTTTTATTTGAAATCTTTTTTGTTTTTTAAAAGACAAGCCCTCTTTTTAGAATACAAGTCCTGTTGCGAAGTACACCCAGACTAAAATATTAAAAATCACGATAAATTGTCCATTGTGGGGATCGAACCACAAAACTCGATACGTGGGTAGTTGCATGGCGACAACTTAACCACTCGACCAACTGTCTAACCTACAAGTTAGATTTTGACTGCAAAATAATGATGACAGTTCTTGCCGTAAAATTCTTTAAGATTAATGCATATACAGCCAGTTGCACAAACGTCCATTAAAGTTTTCATTTTTTTAAGCGGCATTACAATTGCAAATTTGACATTCATTAGAGTTTAAGGGCGTCATTAAACCTTAATAGACGTTTGTGAAACTGACCAATAGTGTATTGTATAATTATATAAAATACCTAATTAAGAGGGGCATCAAAATTGTTTCTCGCCCCGGGCAGCAGACACCCACGCTACGCCACTGTCTACAATACAGGTTGAACAGAAAATTGATGTCAGTAAAGTTAGCACGCTTTTCAATGTCGCTTGGTTAAAAAAAAAAAAAAACAGAAAAACTTACATTATCACTATTACCACAATGCAACCCTCATTGAGAATGATTGTAACCACAATAACAGCATATCCGAGAGACTTAAAGTAATGAGTTGTTAAAACACAAGCAATCAGCATATAAAATAAATCTAGTGATCCGGCGTACATTTAAGTTTCAATCTTCGTACCAATTTTCGTTGCACACATCTGCTTCGCTCCTGGTAAATAAACACATTATTTACTATAAATAAATATTGATGTAATTCTTACTATCTACAATAATATTGGTATAATTATATTTGATCAATATGCATTCAGAATGCTATATTGATAAATATCTTTAGTGAAAAATATTTAAAAAAACCCATGTACCTCAAGGTGGGATTGAAAATATAATAATTGCGATAAAAAGTAACTTATATGTTAAGTCAACCTTAGAATAAAAATTTCATAAGAATGCTTTCAGTAGTTCCAGGCTAGGATTTCTGACATTTTTTTTAACTGGGTTAGAATCTTCGTATGGCGACCTTCCTTTATGCTATGTTCCATGAGGTCGGGGGTTTATGAGATGAGCCTATCATATGAATAAAAAGATTTGCAAAGCTCATTAATGTTTAACTGTATGTAGGTATTATATAATGATGATTTTGGCGCCCCTTAACGCCGGCGTCCGGGGCCTCCCCCCTCCCTAGATCCGGGCCTGTGTAGTTTCTAATGTGAAGAAGTAACAAACATTCAAATATTCGCTTTTATAATATTGTTAAGGTTAGTAAGATACCTCAGCCGTCGCGTGTAGCTAGGCGGTCCGCCTCAGTGTGTGCAGTGCAGAGCCTAACAACACCCACCGCCCGCCGCGCCCCCCGCCCCCGCGCCGCCCGCTCCACCCGCACCTCCAGCTGCGGAATGCTGCGGCCCAATCTTTATACCGTTTGCCTACAATAAACGTATATTTACTCGACAGTAATCTTGCAATCTCAGAAACTAGAAGTGCTAGGGGTTTCAAATTTTGCAAGCGGGTTCTTTTTAGGACGTAGGTGCTCACTAAGATGGGATTTTACGAAATTCGACCACTAAAGGGGTAAATTAGTGGATGAAAGTTTTTGTGGTATTTTCTAATTTATGAACTTTAAACTAGATCATTCATTTCATGTATTTTAATCATTGTGTATTTTGTCTACTCGTAATGTATATTACTTATCTTTAACAACAAAACACAACTTAGTAAATTAGTTGATCTTTCGTTTAAATTTCAAATGAATTTTGTTACAAAATATAAATAGGTATGTATATATTTTGTAACAAAATTCATTAAATTCAGATAATTAGGTATGCCATTCGCGTTTGGACGCGTCTTTGTTTGGGTCTGTGCAGATAGAGTCCCACACTCAGCCCTACCATCTCTCAAGCGTCAGAGATGGTGCAATAAATATTTTAAAATTAGTACAATTGAAGCTTGAGAACCCTAGATTTTTATCTATTACTGACAGTTATTAATAATAGTATTTAAAACCAGTTTCAGCTCTGGACAATACTTATAATCCTGCCCTCCAAATTAAGATAAACCTCGATTAAATAAAGGTATAATGTAATGTATTATATACCTCATTGTTAATGTCGAATACACCCTCTTGAATTTTCTCATAGATTTCTTTCGCAGTATTGATAAAGGCCTCTTCAACATTGGCGGCAGTCTTGGCCGAAGTCTCCATGAATACAAGCCCGTGTTCCCGTGCGAAAGCCTCACCTTCCTCCTTCTTCACTTCACGACGAGACTCCAGATCACTAGATGTCAATTAATACAAAACTGTGAAATGTGCCCAATCATTTTTGATCCTTAATCCGTTGATAATTAAATAGATATTTTATCACAAAATAATGTATCAAAATATATCTGTTTAAATAATCTGCTGCTGGGTGTAATTTATAATTTTATACAAAAATGATATACTATACGTATGGCAAAAAATACAAACAGCTGATTGGGAAAAACTGGACTACACCAGAATATTGTATTCATAAAACCTGTAAAAACCAAAGAAATTTAGCCTTTGACTTTACCTTTTATTCCCAATCAACATTATGACCATATTTGAATTTGAGTGTTGGCGTGCATCTTCAAGCCAAGTAGTGAGATGGTTGAAGGTATCCCTTCTGGTAATATCATACACAAGAAGTGCACCTGCTGCACCCCGATAGTATGATCGTGTGATTGACCTAATAATGAAAATATTATTCACCATTATTAATTTACTGTAAAAGAATTGAATCTGGTATGCACTCTGACTATGTTTGAGTTAAATAGACTAATTCCCATTTTCTTATACTTTTAATGATGACGCCCAATCAAGGTATCAATGATGTAATATCATTGAAATTGAGAAGTGTTTAATGGAGTTATATAAATATATAACTCCATTAAATTATGAAGTATTAAGAAGTAGTAGTAATTATGAACTATTTAATGGAGTTATATATTTAGATAAATATATAACTCCATCAAATACTACATAATTTCTAATTTCATTATTACACAAAATTATTTGGCATAGATATTTCATTTTCATATAGGATTTCATCATTCTGATACTTTTACCATATATAACTACTTGTTCTAATAAGAATTAATTAGGTAATAAGTAAAGACTAGGATAAAAAGTAATTATAATATCATAGTCATCAAAAGTTGTCATTTATATGATTCAATTAAAACATGCAACAATATATATACAACTTCATTTATGACTACTTTGCGAAGCCATATGTTATTCAAATTGATAAGAAAAATTCTATTGGTTTTAGAAATAATATTGTATGTGATGACTGTATTACTGACCTTAATTACATAGGTTTATTAGTCCAACTTATCATAATAGTAATTTATGTGTAGTAGGTATTCATTTTTAATCTGGTATTATAAATTTCTAAACAAGAATCAATAGGTTCTAATAAATGAGTTTAATATTATTCTGACATTAATGAACATAAAAGTATTAATTACCTGAAAGCTTCTTGTCCTGCAGTGTCCCATATTTGAAGTTTAATTTGCTTGCCATCAATGGTGATCATACGAGCACCAAATTCTACACCAATAGTAAGATCATGCACTGGTTGAAATCTTTTGTCAGTGAACTGCAAAAGTAGGCATGATTTGCCCACACCTAAAGAAAAATAAATTATTCAATCATAGTTCAATTAATTTCTGTACGAGATTTTGTAAAAGTTTCATATTCTTAAGTAACAAAGAAAACCTTGACAATACAACAAATGAAATCAACTATTTAAACCTTGATGTTTTTTACAGTATATCAAAGACAAAATATATATAATCTGAACTGAACAACAGTACGATTTTGACGCAGTTTCTGAAAAGCGTAGGTGTAAAACAAAGCATATATAGATTTCCTACCTACATAACATACAAAACATCACTTTTATATTAGTATAAATAGTCTATAGAACCCATTGTTTTGAAATAGCTTATCTATGTAATACACAAGAGAAAACTAATTGAAATATGCTTCAATGCAAATAACTAACAAGTTAGATTAAATATCAGATACAAAATCAATACCTGTGTCACCGATGATGATGTATTTGAATAAATAAGCATATGCCATTTCCACCACTTTTTTTAGCAACCACACAAAAAGCTGCGATTATATATAATAGTAAATAAAAACTAATTAGACAATTTGAAACTTATACAAATAAGACGCAAATTTCTTGAATCACACAGCTGGTTGAATCAATTTGTCTGTCAATTGCAAAGAGAGAGAGAGAGAGAGCGAGGGCATAGCATAAAAATCATATAAAGGTTATCGTCGAATTGCGTCGACTATACTTATAAAACCTGCAGTCTACTCGATAACTTAACTTAAAATCGAACATCATAATATGTCAAAATTACTTAATATGAAAACCACACGATGATCGGTTGCTCACAGTGCTCTGTGAACAATTTATTTCGAAAAATTATTTTGATTGGCCTCAGAAGTTGCTAGAGTTACAATGAGGGAGCTACTACGTCGAATCGTGTTGAATTTGTTCCATGATATACTAAGTGGGGTAGTGAGGATTCACATTTTACAAACAGTATACGGTATGATATTGTTATGGTCTACATTTAGTCTGGTTATTGAAAATAGTAGTGATCAAATGATAATCTTTTTATAAAGGGATATTTAGTATTTTCGGATTTTAGTCAAGTATAAAACACTCTCAACAACAAAAAAAGCTTCCCGCAATGTTTAAACGTTTATACGTTAAAACATATATATAAATAATGCTCGAAATATATCATAGTTCAGAGACGATGAAACGGATTTGAGTATGTAAAAAATATTTTCGATTAAAATAAAGGTTCCATAATCTTCGATCCATAATTTATTATGTTCGAAGACTTATAGTTGCTCAAAATAAAAAAATAAAAGTGTGTTTTTATACATTTAATGGCGCTAATAACTCATAGATCAATATTTATTCACTGTAGTGTTATAAGTATGTTCAATGAGGAAGTATTAAAAAAACACTAGTTCCTGAAATTAAACTAGATATCGCAACGGTACGACACATGTACGACATGAGAGCACGTCATGTTTGTTACCACAATGTGTCAAATTTCTTTAATTGATTTTGAACTCAACTATTAAGATATTAAAATGAGGAAGTATTTTAAAAATAAAAATTAGTTCTTGAAATCATACTAGATGTCACTCGCGATGTTTGGATTTTGTTTATGATATTCATTCAAATTTTGTTTCTGACATTATTAAAGTAAATTAAGTATCGAAAATTAATAAATATGACATCGTTTTGTGTTTCTTATAATATCTAACTTTCAAATTAATTTTAATTTATGTTAATCGTAAGTTTAAGTTGTTTATTATGTTACGTGTACGTGATACGTCAACATTAGTGATGAGCCAACTTATTGGTTGCTCGTAACTTTCATCCGAATTCAGGATTGGAATGAAAAAAAAAAGCGGAGCGCAGAATTCAGCTTGTATTTGTATGTGTCATTATCAGTGGTCGGAATTAGGTAGAGTTATTCATGTACTTACACTGATTTCATACAGCGAAAGAATAAAGTGGATATGCCTCAAATCCCGAGATTAATTTTAAAGAGCAGAAAAAATCCCGTAATTTTTTAAATAAAAAGTTATTTACTTTTACACAATTTAAACTACTGCACGCACGACGTTGCCAAACTTACATCAATGACATCGGATGTCCAAAGTTGCAAAATACCAATGCGCGCGATGTTGCCACATTTGTAGTTCGCACAACATAGCTTGTGAGAACAAAATGAGAACTAAACCTATGTAGAACTTTTTCTTGTATTGTTATCAAAATCGGTATTGTTTAACTTAAGATGTTCTTTGATACAATCACAATAAAGTAACAATGATTTCAAATGCTACTGAAGAAGCTTAACATACGGGACTCGTTTTTTAATTGATTGACTATATGGTTAACGATTGGAGTTAGATTTTCTGGTAATCTTTTATTGATTTTCCTTTTTAGCTTTAAACTTTAGTATAAAACAAAGTTCGCTTCCCGCCGTCTGTCTATCTGTATGAATTTATGCACGCTTAGATCTTTTAAACTCCACAACTGTTGTGCCCTATCTCTCACATACTTACAAACACATTCATACGGTTTTCTAAAATTTATAATTTTTTTGCTCCAGATTAAAAGTATTATCATGGCGCAGAGTTCAATCAAAAAAGCCACCGTCAACAAGTGGATCAAAGATCATCCGGAGCTATTTTACGACCATGCAAGTGGATTAATTTACTGCTCTAAATGCGAAGCACATTTGAATGCAACTCGTCAGAGTAACGTCCAAAGACATGTAGAAGGAGCAGTACATAAAGGCACGAAGAACGAGCGCCACACTCCTTTAGAATTTTACTTCGACTTAATCAAATTTATGATTCTTTGTAACATACCATGGTCCCAACTAAGCAACAATGTGAACAAAATGAAAAATGTTTATTTCATCATCTAGACAATATCATATACATATAGGTTTTGGAGACTCCTTTTCAGCAAATCTTTGTTTGTATATGTGAGATTTTAACAATTTTATATTTATGTATAAAAGTAAAAACAAAAACAAAAAGAGAAGAGAAAAAGAGAACTTTATAATTTTAGTGCATCTAGTGCATATTTATTTGTAATTATATGCGCGCGCGATGTGTGTGTGAGTTGTGTGTTTTCCTATTTTATTATTTAATATTAAGTTATTGTTAATAGCATAAATTCAATTTCTTCATATTCTTTTTCTTTTAACCAATCAGTGAGGAGTTTCATGCAATCATGATATGTCCGTGAATAAATATTTAGATGTTTGTTTACATAATTATATAGTTGAGCCGATCGTATATTATATTGTCGCTGTGCAAAAGTTGATTTTACTATTTTTATAGGTGCAACTTGATGTCGTTTACGTTTATTTTGCATTTTTTTGTTGAAAGGAAGACTTTTATGTTTCCTTAGTAATGTCTTTAGAATATATAATTTTCTCACACTTAAGATCTCAGATTCTCTATATAGTCTGTCTGTTTAAAAAACATTACTTTTAGTAATGATCTTTGTGCCCTTTCAATGTCAATAAATTTAGTTTTTGTTGCTCCTCCCCAGATTGGTAAGCAATATGCCAGTATAGACTCTGCTAGGGATATATAAATTTGTTTTAAAATAAAATTTGTGGCAGTATGTCTTAGTCATAGAATTAATAAGTACTACGTACAACTAGAATGCTTACTGTGCGTCTAAACACGCGCCGAGTGAGAGGTCATAAATCTTGGTTTGTCCCTTTCTAAGTAGTGTAACCATTCTTACCTGAATACATTGGACATTAAAAGAAAATATTGATTATTGAAATTGAATAATATTAATATGAAGCAGGAAAAATTCTTATTTAATCTCAACTCAACAATATTAAATTTAAAAAAATAGAAATCAGCAATTTCATAGGCAGACCTCCCCCCCCCCACTGGGGGAAGACCTAATAATAAAACGCAATCAAAATAGTATATTTTATTATGACTGTATTGTTTACATTTTAAAATTAAACATTATTTAACAAAATTGTTTTGTGCAATTTATGGCGTAAAGTAGCGCGAGATGTGCCAATGGCCTTAATGTGAGACCTTTGCCATAAGTTGACATTCTTATTATGAGAATCTCTTGCCTTTGTTGGATTTATTTTTGTTCAATTGCTGATGAATATTTGGGAAACAGTTTATTATGACAGATTGTACCTTTTCATAATTTTTACAATTTTCTTTTAAAACTGCTAAAAGTGACTTTAAATTATTAATATTCATCTACATGTCTCTTCTTTTGATTTTTGCCTAGTATTAATATCAAGTTTTAACTTCTTACATGAAGGACTTTAGTCAGGCGTATAACTAAAGGCGTTTAACACGTTATTTTTTTTGTTATCAGGAAAAATCTGTAATGAAATTAAATTAGGTAGGTACATAAAAATAAGTTATAATATGAATTGTTGTTTTAACTTATTATTTTCGATATAATGTTGTTTATAAATGAGTGCTTTAATATTAAGTAGGTACCTTTGGCAAGATTGAAGGAATCACTTCTGATTTCAGCCTTTTTCGAGCCTCTGTTCGGTAATCTTTGGGTTTGAAATGAAGTGTACAAACCACACAGCTTTCATGTAAGTTCCCAGGTATCAACCATTTTTACTCTAAATCCGATGGCAAACTGGAAATTTAAATTAAAATGTATATTTTTTATTATAGTAATAATTTGGTTTGGTGTGTAAATAGATATTTGCAAAAGATCGATCAAACGATAAGCCTACTGACCAATAAAATGATTAAAGGATACCCATTTATGAGCCTCTACATGCTTGCTTAATGTAGGTAGACTTGCAAATAGTGAATAACCAAAGTGTTAAGTGATACAACAATTTTAAATTTAGTACTTAATTAGGCAATAATAGGGTCTATGCTTATAGTACGTACGTACTTTACATCTCTATACGTAAAGTATAGTCACCCTAGTTTCTACTGATGACATACTTACCTGTGAAAAGATAATCCACAGCCAGGTACGATCTTTCCCATACCCACTCACAGCACATATATTGTTTACCATTTTTCAATCCAATATACTATTTAAAGCACTTTTTTAATTCAGAGAGTATTAAAAACAAGTCCATATGACAAAAAAGAAAACGCCATGTTGCTTTTGTGGTGCCACGTGAATACTTCAATTTACCTAGTGTTGCATAACGTAAAGGTAATAAAACATGCCTACAATATTGAAATGTCGTGAAATATAAAAACTTTGTTTTATCTGGACCTAAAAGCTATTGCATTTATATTATTAGTAAACTTATAAACAAGCCAAATATAATATTCATATAGAAAACGTTTTATTCTGTGTAAACAGTTTTCACAGGCAATTCAACAGGCAATTGTGCGACAGAGACACACCAAGAAAAAAGATGTCTCACTTGAGCTCATTTCTCTATGTAGATAATGGTTATTTAAAAAACACTTTATTCACATATCATTAAGGTTCATTTTGATATGTCAAAAAGATCGCAGTTAGCATTCCAGTTGTACGTAGTACTTATTAATTCTATGGTCTTAGTTTTTTGAAAGTGTAAATAAGTTTCTGATTCTATTCATTATTAATTCAATATGCATATGCCAGGATAGTCTATGGTCCACCAATATACCTTAATACTTTATATGTGGTACCTTATTCAAAATTTAAAAAAAAAAAATTTAAAACATTTTTTTAAAAGTACATGTGTTGCAATAGCAAAAATATTGAACTACCTAGTGAATCCTTATTGAGAAAAGTTTACCTGGATCAGCTTTTTAAAATCAAAGCACAAGAGATGCAAAGTAAGATTGTAGATAAAAAGCTATGGCTTTCAGTAGACGAAACTACGGATTTCTTAGGAAGAGCTGTCGTACATTTGTTGGTGAGACCATTACAACCTAGTAGGTGCCATCAGCCTTACTTAGTGGCATGTAAAATGCTAGATACTGTAAATGGAACAACGATATCACAATTTGTTCAAGATTCTTTAAACAATATGTGGGGAAGTTCATTTGAGAGCAAAGTAGATAATGCTAGAATGTTATGTACAGACAGTGTGGCATACATGATATCAGCCGGTAGAATTTAAAAATCAACTTTTCCAAAAATGTTGCATTTCACATGTTTAGCCCATGCTCTAAATCTTGTTGCGGGGCAGATTAGAAAAGAGAACCCTAATGTTGACAGTTTAATTTTTTTAATAATAATGACAACATTCAGGATGATTTGTCTCGTATTTACGAAAATTTTTCAATTATACCAAAAGCTTTGACATCACTACAGAAACCCGATCTTTCTCTAATGGAATCATTTGAAATATTTGATGCAGTGAGATTAGCTTTGAGATGGGCAAATTGTGAGAGCTTAGAAGATAAAATGGAAAAAGTCATGGATAGAAATCCTGATTTGGACACTATCAGAAATATAGCAGAAAAAATTTCTTCCTGCACTAATGACGAGGAGGAGGAAGTGTATTTTGCTAACCTCATCTCAGTTGACGTAGAGTGATCTTTTTCAATGTACAAATGGATTTTAAATGTTCGGAGAAATTCATTGAAGCCAAATAATATTGAAAAGCTTATGATTATATATTTTAATTCTCACAAAAGTTATACAGTAATGTCGGGAGCGAACACTTCAAATCTTACTGGTAATCAATCGGACAAGGAAAATGATTCTGATGGGCCGTTTGAATAGGCAAAACCTCATGAGTCTACGCTAGAAGCAAAAGTATTCGCTCGTATTTATAAAAAAGGCGAAATATGCGTATGAGAATTTGCTTAAGACTATCAATAATTTGTATTGTAAATTAATGTAAACTAATAAAAATTTTATGTTAATTATCTTTGTTTTATTTGTCTATCTCTGACGTTGTTATTATTATTTAGTTGTAAGATTGTTGGCCACACGGGATTGTCCATTAGGAATCCTGGGAAGGTTCACATTAATACCAACATTTCGATGCAAGTACATAAATAACTCTGCCTAATTCCGACCTCTGGTCATTATGCATCCACAAAACGAATTATATTAATATAAATATCAAAATCAATTCAGTCTAGGCTGTTACATAGTACTTGTGAAAGTCGAAAACTTTGCCAATGATTTGCAAAACTAAGGCTGGAGATCTTGTACTGAATGACTACTCTAGGTACTTAGTAAATAATATATATCAATAAACGTGATTTCTAGAGTTGGTTGTGTAGGAAGTTAATCTATTATTAACAATATTATTGTAAGAACGAAAAAGCACATACCCACCGTACGAATAAACTTAACACATGGCTCAACGTCCGCCGTCGACATGCAAGATAAGTAGCAATATAACTGTACGTATCTTTGTGATTTTGAAATTTAAAGTTATAACCTTGCTGTTCGTTTAAAACGGACGTTTATTGTTGATTGCTGAATGTTTATTAAGATTATTCAATTATGAATATAAGATTAAATAATTGATCATAGTTTATTAAAGTCTTAATTTCGAAAACAAGTTATTTGCACGTTATACATTGCACAAATGTCATTTTAGCCAGAAGTCATGTTATTTTGTACGAACACCTAGTATATTTGATACATATCGGGTAAGTTTATAGAAAATAAACGGGCTTTTTATTTTAATTATCCTTTTTCTGACTTTTGTTGCTGATTAATAAACCCTATTCATTCATTAATTATATATAATATAAAAATATAATTGAGACTTGAAATAGTTTTGTTGTCGTAAGTTCAACAAACAACTAAAAACAACAAAACTAACTTACTTAGTTGTTATTGTTTTCAGAACTTTTGTTAAATATTATAATGAAAATTCCTAGACCTACTGTGGCATAAATATTTTATTTATAAAAACTATTTGGCGGTAATATTATTGTATACCCTAGCTAAATGCCACTTTTAATTATTTCACAGCATTAATTCAATTGATTTCCATAAATTAATAAAAAAACCTTTATGTTCACTTCCATGATGTTAGTTTCCATTTTCCTCTATACAAATAAAAAAGAAATTTATTCAAGGATTAATTTTTATTAATCGAGTTGCACTTGCATAAATCGAACTAATTAAATTCGATATTAAACCGAGTTATCAGATCCATACAACACTGACAATTCTAATCTCTTTGGTTTAACATCATGAATTGACATTTAGATCGAACAATTTGTGCTGTCATCTAGTGACTTAATTTTTTTTAGCTTCTTTATTTTTTTTAAATAAGTACTTCCTCATTTAAAAACAAGTAGAGAGATTGGGCAGATTTCTATAGTCTGTGCTTTTGACAGTATATCCAGTACCTATACTGTGATATTCACAGAACAATAATACTCATGATTAAAATATTCCAAACTTTTTCATCACGATCTCTTTGTACTAGCACATGAACATTTAATGAGGTCATGGAATGTTGATTGGGAAAATACTAGAAATAGAGCGGGAAAGTATTATTTTGAAATTCAGAGAACTATCCCCAGTACTCCCGATTTCAATTATTTGTCGCCTGAGAATTGGACATGTGTGTACGCCGGTTCGACTTGCCAAATTTAAAATTAAAGACAACCCCCTCTGCGATTGTGGCATTGAGGAAGGAACTATGGATCATATTTTATTTAATTGTTCAAATTTATCCATTTCGCTTTATGATTTGCTACCATCAAAAGTTCCATGTCTAACAAATATAAAATGTATCTTGAGTATGGAGAATCCCAGCCCATTCAAAATTTTAGCAAAATTCTTTGCAATCAATAATAGTCTTAATTTATAAATATATTTGTTTTCTATATACATTCTATTTGTATTATCTTTAACAATGTAATCAGATAGACGCGCTCAGAGCTATATTTTTTATTTTATTTAAATTCAAAATTTTACATATTTTATTATTGTTTCTATACGTGTAAAGACCACAAACGTGACATTGGCGGAATTGTGTAAATGCAAATAGGCCATGAATTAAAAAAGAAGAAGAATACTCATGATGTTATCTTTACGCTGTATATAAAAGGGAATGATAAGATAATATATTATATTTAGGAATTCTTTGCTTGCTTCATTTGTAGACTGGTTTATAATTTCCTTAGCAGTTCGACCAAATCAATGATTATACCATTATTGAAACGAAAGGACTTTGTACACACTACTTACTCTTCATTTCTAATTTCAAACAGTTGAATATTTTTTAAAGTGACCCGTGACCCTATTATACACTGTAGTCTTTGCCCGTGACTCCATTGATAGATTAAGAGGACCAAACAGTCCAAAAGTTCAACAAAGTTTAAACATTGCACGTGTTAAATAGATACAAAAACTGCGCAATTCCATAATTCAACAGTTAAAGATGACCATACCCCAAAAACTAAGTAAGAATTTCACTGGAGACAGTTATTATAAACAATTAATAATAAATTTATTATTGAACATCGTGTTTTATTATAATTTCAGATATCACTTCTCTAAGTAATCTGCATATTAACAAAAGTAACATAGACTCTCAGATAACCACTATTCTGAGGAACAATCCAGTTTATACAAAAGATTATTTCGATGCTTGGTTGCTCAGAGCTGTGTCTGTGATTGATTTAACAACTCTATCGGGTGATGATACTAAGTCAAATGTTACTAGACTATGTATGCAGGTATGCTGGTAATTCTATTTTTCATCAACTCATATTATCATTCTATCTGTATTAATACAAATTTAGGCAAATATATAAATAAGTATCAAGAGAAATGAACAATTACTATGTATGGATTCTGTCCATTTTTAACTTTTATTGATTTATAAACTCCATAGTTTAAATGAACTATGCCATACCAATAGTTACTTAAGCCAAATAGAATTACATATCCTACAAAATTAGCTGTCACCTTTTTGACTTAAATTAAAAATAATTAATAAACTGGGGGACGGGAAGGCCTAACTTGCCCCTCCCCCCAAGGGGGTGTTATCAGATTCAGAATTATTATTCAAAAGTAGTTTTTTTAAGGCTGCTCATCCTGTATCTACAAGACTGAGACAAAGCTTAGTAAAATTACTTGATGGTAAGGTATTGAGAACAGCTGCAGTTTGTGTATATCCAAGTCGAGTCAAGGATGCTCATGAGACAATTACAAGAATGGGACTCACTGATGTGCTCCAGATAGCAGCAGGTATTTTATATTTCTTTTTTATAGGAATGTAACTTTGATTTGCTACTTAATTTTAAACTTGCTTTTTTTGTACAGTGTAGGACTGTTAGTTTTTAATAACATATCATACATATGCATCAGTGTTGCCACATGTCAGCTTGAATAGTGCTAAACCTTGCAAGTCATATTTGAATACAACTCATAGTAGGGGAGCCCACGATGCTAAATCGGGATTTACTCTAGCGTCATAGAGACCTATTGGGTTGCGAAGCTTAGATAATAACAAAAAAAAATTTCATATAATATATACCTTTTCATCGGTGGGGGAAGCGGCTATAGATTTTTAAAAATGTAAAAAAAAACTGTTGTATGGACATACTCGAGCGCGTCAGATATTAATATCATCTACGTCCTACGCATTTTAAAAAACTGTCGTATGTTAATCTGATCGTTTCCATGATGGGGGTGGTTATACGTAAGGGTTGAAAATGAAAAAAAAAAATTATTTAATCGAGCGCGTCAGATTTTTTGAGGGGATGTCAAGTGAACCTAAAAAAAGCTCTCATATAATAATCTGACGATTTGGATGTGACGCAAACGCGTGACCATTATTAGAATTTGCAAAAAAAAATCGCCATTTTGAAATACTCAAGCGCGTCAGATTAAGATATATATGGTTCATCTTTATGCCCCAGACGTGATATCTCATAATCTGACGATTATCTGAAGGGATTTACTTAAACTGACACAAAAAAATTTTTTTTTTAATTTTTTCAAACCGGAATTAGCATGCAAATAAAAAAGTGTATGTTTTTTTATGTAAAATACTTATATTTATAAGAAAATGATTATATGAAAATTTAATTTTTACAGTATTTTTTATTAATTATCATCTTCATCGCTAGAATCATCTTCCTCTTCTTCTCTTAAAATAACAAAATAAGCAAAAACGTTGGAAATACGATGTAAACAATATCACGCCACGAACGAGTCTGTGTCATCAGCTGTCATGGCGTCATGGCAACCGAAACCAGAGTGGGGATAGAATGAGAGAGTAATATGTCTTTTTCTGTCGAAAAAGAGAGAGAAATAGTGATGCGGAGAAGGAAATATAGGTATCACGTAGCTTAAACGCATTAAATCTTATCGATGAATTTTTATTACTTCAGCTTGTGACAATCGTCAGATTATATATTTTTCGTAATCCTTGAATGATTCCCTTCAAAATAAAAAAAAAATTAGCCACGCTCGAGAATGTCAAAGTGACGTTTTTTTTTACAACTTTGTAGCCTTCCCCCTTCTTTACGTCACTCTCAAATTGTCAGATTAGAGGTATGTACACCTTTTAGCATGTAACTAGCTCACCTTACCTTAATCTGACGCGCTCGAGATTTTCAGATGATCAATTTTTTTTTACTAATCTGATCCTTCGTCCTTGCCGGGCGGCCATTTTTATAGGGCTCAGACTTGGTCCAGGTACTTAACTGGGTACAAGGTATCCCCCTGTATATTAATCTGCCGCGCTTTAGTAAATCCGAAATCCCCGCTTCGGCTCCCCTACTATCAATAAAGCAGTTTCCTAAAAAGCTTTAACTACACTGTGAAAACTAAACTTCCTCCCTTGCCCCTATGGGTAAGATTGGTATTTATGAATACACCCCTCCCCTTCAATGTTTCATCTGTTGTCTTATCATGGGCAAATCGAGGGTTAAAGTGGTGGGTGTTACGGGATAAATAATTAAATAGCCACCAATCTAGAAGTGATGATCATCCTATTGAACTCATGTAATGCTTGAGTCAAATTTAAATTTCTTAAAAAATTCCAAACTTAATTGATTTATGTTGGAACATATAAAAATTCTGGGTCGCGCCTGCCATCAAGTAACTAAGTATATTATTTTAATTTTGTCTCAGGTCTGGTTTATTGTGCTTTTGTCCCTGATTCTGAATTCCATCAAACAAATGCTTACTTTGAAATCAGAATTGTATTTCCAATGATTGTCTTTTTACAGTTGCAACAGGATTTCCTTCTGGGCTGTATCCTTTGAAAACAAGATTAGACGAGATAGCATTGACAGTGGCAGAAGGTGCAACTGAAATAGATGTTGTGATTGATCGCAGTCTAGTGTTGACTGGCCAGTGGGATGTGTTGTATAAGGAAGTTGAAGAAATGAAGAAAGCTTGTGGTCATGCTCACATGAAAGTTATTCTTGGTGTTGGTGAATTGGGAACATATGAAAACGTAAATAAACGTCTTTTGATATATAATTTTAAACAATATACAGTGACATGGATTGGTAATTTTTATGTTATGTTACAGGTGTATAAAGCATCGATGGTATCCATGTATGCTGGTGCTGATTTCATTAAAACTTCAACAGGGAAAGAGGCAGTAAATGCTACTCTGCCAGTTGGTTTGGTAATGTGCAGAGCTATACGTCAGTTCTACCAGGATACTGGAAAAAAGGTATTTTTATGGACTGTTAACCTTTTGAATACTCTTTTTGATCAATAGGAAATAGGAAGACCTGCAGACATTTCTTTTGGTAGAATTATTAAATGTGGGTAAAAATTATTTGGTAATACTGCTGTCAAATCTACAATCATCATTCTTTATCATTCATGCATCGTTAGTATAATATATATCCTATCCTATGGTCTGAATCAAGGCTAGAGAGTTAGATAGTGGGGACATTAAAAGGCTGATGATCTTTTGTAAAATTATTGAATTGTTCATTATGAATAATTATCATATTAATTAATTCTAATAAGTTATTTTTTCCCAAGGTTGGCCTGAAACCTGCTGGTGGCATAAAGACCGCGAGAGATGCTGTCAATTGGCTTGTTTTGGTGCGAAATGAGCTAGGCCCAGAATGGCTATCGCCTGAACTCTTTAGAATAGGAGCTTCTAGTTTGTTGGATGTTATCATGAAGGAATTGACTGTATAGTAATTATTAAAAATATATTCCTAACAGTAGTTGAGAGCAGTAAGCACTCTGATTTTGCACACAAAATCAAATTTGTCATGGTGCAACATTACGCGTAACAGATTGAACGCAAGTGATATATAGTTAATACGTAGCAGAAGGTTAATTTCCAAGATTTCATTTGTAGCAATTTACATAGATTTCATGAAATGATTATTTATATTCTTTTACTACTAATTGGTTTTCAACATACATCAAATTATTAAAGTTTGATTCATTACCCTATCATGGAGTAATGTAGAACTAGAGACAACCTCCATTTATATAACACCCAGTGGCACAAACATCCATTACAATTTTCGTTTAAAGACACTACCAATGCAAATTTTAAAATGTATAACACTCATTAGAGCTAGAAGTCGTAATTAAACCTTAGATCTCGTTTGTGCAACTGGGTGAAAGACTTTAAATACTACGACTCAATCAACAGGCTGTTTAAATTGCTTTTTTTTTAATTTAATAGAATTGATACCAACTCTTTATTTCAATGGTTGAAACAAAATATACTTAAAACGCGACGTATTTACTCAAATTAATTTGATCTATGGTCAAAATGTCTATGAACATCCGACGTAAGTCTGATACACATTAATAAACTATATTAGAAATCTATTATCTCTAATAATATTGTTACCATGTTGATGATTATCTGACCTTGAATTCACTGATTGTCAATATCATTTTTACTAGTGCTTTTATATAAATAATCATGTCAAATATTGTTATAAGGAAAAGTTAAACTTATAAGCAGTTTACTAATGTTATGTAATAATTTTAATAAAAATCATTTTTTGTTCATTTTTTAATGGTTTTATTAGTGTTATCCTGGGGATTTAGACACTTTCCAGTTTCAATGGTGTATGGTGAAGCTCATTATCAGTCTTATTGTATTAGTTATGAGGTGTAAAATAGAACGCACTAGGTCTGATGACGCGTTAATTTTCCACGTTTCGAAGTATACCCTCTGCACGAGTGAGTCGCCACAAAATAGATCCCTATAGATTCTCCTTTAGTAATTTGTTGATGTTATTACAATATTAACAATTAATCATCTAAACTTTCCACAAAGCAAAGAAACAAATGCAATGTTTTCTTAAAATATAAATAAGATTTGGTGTACCGAGTTTTCCGCTATTGAAATGGATATTTTTAAATCGAATTTATGCGACAATGCTTTGAATAGAATAAATACATGTATAATTGAAATATCGGATATATATTTTTGTTCACAACAGAAGTTAGTGCGTATTGACACGAGACTAATATTTGAAGAGATATTATTTGTGACTGCAATATTTTTAGAGAAAGAATTATAAAAATGAAATCTGTAACAAAATACTTACGTAATTGTAGAAGTTATAGTGACACCGGGTAGCTAATTTGTTTTTTTTTATAAGTGTGCATTAGTTTACTTAAAAATGTTGGTACTTAATTTTATTCTTATTTAAGTTATCTCAGATATGAAAAGAGTATTTCACCGGACATACACAACGACTTCAAGAAGTCTCTGAGTAAAATTACTGATGACGTCGCAAAGAGAAAAAATTATGTATCATATCCTGGAGTTTTGGATAAAATCAAGAAGGCAAGGGATAAAATGTATATATATGAATAGTATTATAAAAATCTATTAGGATATGGAAATAAATTTGTCAATTTTCGTTTTAGGCTGCTGAATATAATAGAAATTTCGGGAAGAATCCTAGTGGAATGATCATGTTGCATTCTTTGAATGTTTTGGATCAAATTGGATCTTCTACATCAAGTGCGATGCATCAAGCATTCACATTAACTTGGGGTATTGAAATGGTTAGTTTTTAAGAAAATTTTATTAACAATGAGGAAGAATTTTAAGATAAAAAGAAAGCACCAAAAAGCTCCTCACTAGATGGCGACTCTACCAAAAATTGTTTTTTGCAGGAAACAAATGATCAAAGATAGTCCTTTCCGTTCCTTTTAACTAACATATTAAAAAACTGAAATTTGCAAAGTTTGAAACTTAGAAAATGCGAAAAAGTACAAATAGAATATGAGTTGATTATTGAGTTTTGAATATTAATTTACTTTTATACATAAAGAAAACCGGAATGGTTGTCATGGAAAAGAAAGTACCGTAGCGACATCTAGTTTGAATGTATGAACTAATGTTTTAATTTAAATATTTCCTCATTTTAAAAGGGTGCATGTTCCTATACCTATGTATGTTCTTTAGATAATGATTATTATTACAAATACAATAGCAACACGACACTAGTTTTTGTGGGTATTAGAAGTTTTGGTAAAGAAAAATAACTTATATTTTATTACTGATCCGATAAGGACAAAAGGTATCCCTGTGCAAAATCACTATCACTATCTATTCTCCACGTTTAAACTTTAATGTATTGGTGGTAGAGTTTAACATCACCTGCAGAAAATCGTTACATTGTGCTGTGGTGACTTTAGCGGCTAATATAATTATATGCGTAATAAATAAGTAAATTCCATATATAATTAAAAAAAATAAGACATTAACGGTTATTTATTACCTATTGTTACTTTTAATTAATTTAATAATTTCTAAATTATATTATTGACTTTCAGCTCCATTCTTATGATCTTTTGGAAGATATAAAACATAGAGAACATATCGGAAATAAATCCAACACTGACACTGACTATGCGAATCTACTTCGAAGCTTCTTATATGCCATGCTAGAAGATAACTGTTCAAATAATTTTGTTCAGTTGTTTAATAAGGTAATTAAATAAAAAAAATACTATTAGACGACAAAAAAGTTGAATCGATGACCTACAGCAATTTCAAAGCTCTTGATAACGTGATGAGAACTGTACTTATCTACATAATGGTTTTATTGTATGGATACTTTACATTTCTTTTAGGGGTTTCTGTTTATTTCTCTAGGGAAATACATAGCAAATGATATATCAAGTAAAGGAAAAATTGAAAAATATTCCAACTTTAATATGAATACTTATGAGCTGCTATGCGAGTATAAAACAGCCTTTAATACTTATAAATTACCATTAATCATAGCGTCGCAACTCTCAAGGCAATCGAAGATACATAATCATATAGATAAAATTGGCACAGATCTAGGGAAATTGTATCAAATAAAGGTAAGGTCAAAAGTGGAAATTAAATTTTTATGTGGTTTCGAGACTCTCACAATAAGGGTTGACCTACTCGAAAAAACCAATAATGTACTATCGCTATTTTTCGCTTTAGCAAATTGATACTTGTACTGTCATATGTAGCTCAACCCTAAGCCCTTTCATTTGATATGTCACACATTTTTCACGACTTTTATACACGGCTACATTTAGATTAATAAGACTTAGGTGTAGCTATATGTCATATATTTGTTAATTCTGACTTCTGCGATACACAAGGCGCGACCCATCTTTTCTCAGACACGTACCTATCCTAGGTGAAACTTTAAAATCAATTACAGAACTTTAACGTATTATCAACCGCTTCTATATTTATTATTCATGTACTAATTTGATTTTAGAACGAATACGAAGATTGTTTCGGTGGAGAATCAAAGACTTACAGATCTGCAGGCGTGAATATTCAACAGGGTAAATGCACGTGGTTAGCGGTCACTGCGTTGCAGCGCTGCACAGCAGCACAGCGTATAGTGTTCAACACGTGCTACGGTAGCAACGAGCCAGCACACGTGGAACGTATCAAATCGCTTTACGAGCGTCTCAATATACCCCAACTTTACCGCGAAACGGAGGGTGCTTTGAATGAAAGTATTATGCAAAGGGCTGAAACCGCTGGTGTGCCTTTAGAATTGTTTTCATCTTTGCTTGAAACTTTAAACGTTGAATAATGTCGATGTTACTGTCATAGAATAAATTGTTAGATTTGTAATCAATAAATGCTTAAAAATCCACCAACATGAGGATATTTTTTTTATTAAAAATGTTACCAGTTTATCATCGTGAACGCAAAATTGATGAAATGTAACAATTTGAATACTTTTATGTATAGGTATAAAGTCTATTTCAGTAAAACTTAGAACCTACAAAATTAAAACACAAATCAATATTCTATCATAGTATATTCCAAAAATATAATGTTATACATAACATTGTTTTATTTAGAGTAACGCCATAAAGGTTACAGTGATACTAATAAATTACGATAGATTTAGCCAAGGTTTAATTTGTAAATATTTGGCCTTATCACATTTATACAATCGACTATCAAAGGAAGTTAATAAGTAATAATGAGTAATAAATGGTGCGTTTTTTCGTTATAAATTACTGTACATACAGAATACATGTTTACTACAATAAATTTATAGATAAAAAATATAAAACATTAATTACCCACTTTAGAGTAAGAATGCTAGATATTAATATTTTTTAGATAAAATCAGGGAAAAATATATCGGGCGCAATTTCGCATTAAAATTGAAAATTTGTTCCGTAAACTTCTTTCTGATCACATTGAAGAAAACTTTTTAATTTTAGAATACATTAAATAATAACATAAGTTCAACTAAGTTTGAGAGAAATTGAAGATGAATCTAAAATACTAATAATAAAGTGCCATTGAGCCCAATATTGACAGACAAAATTTATACAATTTTTAGAGAATAAAAAAAAATCATCAAGTCTTAACAATATCTACATATGAAAAAATAATAGTGAATATATGAAAATCATATATTTTAAAGAGGCGGGATATACGACTGCATAATTTTTAATCTGTGTAATTTATAGGTGTAAGTGTGATATTATTTATGGTACAAATTTTGTACCTATACGATCTTTTGATGAATTTATTTCTTTGTTACCATTTTGTGATGTTTTCTTCTGAAATAACAAAAGTGAACTGACAATTTCAAACATTCGGCACTCCAAAAGCAAGGAAAAGTAGAAGGATTGATGGTTTTAATTCAAGACAAAAAATACAAAGTATATTACGATTATTAATGTATCTTTAAGAAGTTTATATTCCAAAGACTAAACAATGTCAGAGCAGTGAGTTCGTTTACTACAGAGCAATTGTGAGCAAATATTACTATATTCGTATCGTTACTGTAATATAAAGTAACTGTTATACTGCGTGGGGTCATTAATCTAAAGCGTCGTACATCAAAACGCAGTACTTTGCGGATACGATGCACAATCTTTAGATATATTCAAGTCGCCAAACGGAGAGAATTTCGTACGTTGACCTTTGTACTTACTGATACATATCGTAAACATTTTGAGTTTATTTTACTATTATAAAAGAAATTGATGCATCTGTGTAAGCGCAATAGCGAGCAAATTAAGGATATATTTTACGAAATTCTCTGTTTGGCGACCGGACTATAGACACAGAAAACACACCTTGTGCGTATGTAATTAAGTACAAAAATAATGGCAAAGAAATAACAATTAACTTGCACTTAAATACATTTATTTAAGTGCAAGTAAGTTAATTGTAAGTTATTTATCCACATGCTTTTGGTGTACTGAACTACTTTTGAAACTGTACAAATAAACCGCGATATTGCTTTAATTAAAATTTTCAGAAATAAATTGCAACTAGGTACATTTGTCGCAATCTCGGTTACGTCTCATAAATCTTTATAACTAAATAACATAGACCTAAAATATCTAGTGCAATTATGTTTACAAATATTTATAATACATGTGTTGTGTTGCAACGTATGTGCTAATATAATTTTGACTAGTAAGCACCAATTCACTAATATATAATTAAATTACGTCGTCATTTACAATTTATTTACATACATTGATGATTGTAGCTGATAAAATTCAGCCAAACACGTTTAAATCAACTATTGAATTTACATAATGGCGTAATAACTATTTGAGCGTTAAGCCACAATGAAAACATTATAATAAACTGTATGAAATATTCAAGAATGGATGCATTATAAAAATAAAAGTAAATGTGTTTGCGAATACCTCCTTTTATACCCCTTTAACAAAAATGGGATCACATTAAACAAAAGGTACAGTCAGCAGATCTTACATTAATATAAAAGGCCAAATTTAAGGCCTACCTGCCATATACTACAGCTACTTGAACAAATCCGAAGCTTTTCATAGACAATGTGTTTATTCCTACGTAAGTCGAGTCCACCGTTGTAGGCGACCAACACCGGCAAAGGAGGAAGATCAGCCTTAAAATTGATAACAGTTGATATTTTATTGTAAGTAATAACGTTAATTCTGCTAATATTAACAAGATAACTGCGTCTCAATGACGTCGCTAAAAATTGCATTTTGCCATTTTCCATTAATAAAACGGTATCCCTTATTATTAATATAATGCAAATCATAAATCAATAGTGATGTCATATCTGTTGTTATGTGTTCTGATAACAAGAACTGTTGATATTGAAACAGCATTGATTCGCTGTAATTATTTAACATTAACAGAATTAAGGCCATAATATATTGCCGAGTGTCTAGTAGCTTATTACTGAATTTGACTTTATAAATGAGAGGTCATTTCAGATTCATAGACTAGTTATTGATATGGAAACAAATACTATTAACGAATTCTGTTACTATTTATTATAATAAATATTATTTGACTTCATGTTTCTTTGAGATTATTCTGTTATTTTCGGTTGTTTTTCACGCTTCAATCAAACAGATTTTGAAGGTAATGATAAATAAAAATATACAGTTAATATATCTTGTATTTTAATTTCCCCGATTAACATTTCTACTGCAACAGCACTATTACCTACTTTATGAGTTATGTAGTTTATTGATTACGTCAATGCTATTAAAACTATCCGGAGTTTTACCATACAATTGTTGTTTTAGTATTTATGATAACGTAGAAGTATTATCTACCATTATTTGCTATTATCGGGAATGGCTATCACGTAAAACCGTGGGTGTAGTAGGTATAGATAGCAATTAATTTAGAGCGCAGAGTTGCGTAAAGCCAATATCTGTGTACTAGATGTTCGCTTCGAGTTAGCCGTTAACAATTCTTACTAAATGACGTCACATGCACTTTTAATGATATTAACAAAGAAATAATTGTATTTTTGATCGGCTTGATTTGTCAGTTGTTTCCAGAGTTCATATTCTATAAGTAAAGATTTATCAAACTTAATAAAACTATATTACAACCAATCAAAAAGAATTCATAAAAAAAACAAAAGCGATAATAGAAACAAGCAATTTATGGCACGGCATGAACAGATGTATACGATGACGTTGCTAGCGGTACTCACAGGATCTGTCAGGCGATGCAATGCGGAAAAGCGGGTGGAAACGGATAACTCGAAAACGTTAGCAAAGTACATACAACACTGTATAATATAGACATTGTCTTGTACTCTTTGATTACTTTTAAAGTGTGGTGTGTATTGATTAATCAAAAAGTTAAGAATCACTGAACTGCGAAATTAAGCTACAGGAAAATCCATGGAATAATCTATTACCATTAACTTTACTTCTCCGTTAAATTTTTCCGTTTTACTAAAATAAATCCTGTCTTTTACGCTTTCACGAATGCACGACTGAACTGATTTAGATCAAATTTATATATTTGACAACCAACAGCAAGTATGTAATTGCAAATTTTGTATAGAGATAGTATGAGAACCCTGAGAAAATATTAAAATATTAAGTAGATAGTATGAAACTATCTTATTAGTTATCATGATATTTTAATTTAAAAATAAATAGAAATTATGAAAAATCATCTACACATGGTGTTAGCCACATGTTTTATGTTAAATTTAACCGACAAAAACCATAGAAATAAAGGGGTCATAGACAAATCGGTGGCTCAGAATAGAAAGTAAAAAAAAAGGATTTCTTAAACAATAGTTGTATGAAAGGATATATGAAAAATTATACATTTGAGCTCGCTAAGTCAGAAGAACACTGGTAAATTCAAAGATACCCAAATCCCAGTAATGTTCAATTAACACAACGTTCTATAGGTTTCCGAATTTACATGACAGTAAGGGTGTAAGGGTAATAGTACATTTCAATAATATATGAAGATGTTAAAGAATCAATACAAAAGACTAATCTGAATAATGCAATTCAGATCGATTCAGACTGTAGTTATTTAGCATAATGATGATATCAACGCTAAGCGAATTATTTATCATAATAAGGTTCATTTTGAGAAGTCAATTTACAATTCAATGTAATCTCCTCGACAGTTTAGCTATAAGTGTATACATTTTCTTACATGTTAACATTGTAAAACGAGTAATCATCGGTCTTCATTTCGAATAATTTACATTTAAGTTCTGATGAAATTTGAAAATCATAGAAACTCATTATATTTATAACATGCTCTCTGTTGATTTTATTAACGTTGATTGGGGTATTACTTAATACAGCTTAAGTTGCCTTCAGTTTTAGCAACTGTTTGTCTTACTTAAATAATAATATCGCACACATTAACATTTTATACAAAACAGTAAAATCCTAGTAACTAATAAGATTTATGTTTCGTCTAAGGCAGCGTTTCTCAACCTTTGGTCGAACCCAAGATTACGGGAGTTATGGTATATTAATATAAAAAAACCCTGTGACAAATCCACTAGCTGTTGATAAGCCTATTATTTAATTAAAACAGATATACATAAATAAATTAGTCAGGGTATTCAAATATATTTATATCTTAGGCCACCAAAAAAAGGTTGAGAACAGCTGTTCTACGGAGTGCATTCGAAATGACCACTGTTATAATAAACTTATCTGACTATATGTGGTCGAAGTATTGGTAGTTGTGGTGCGTGCATAAGTCTTCTATGGGCCTCTGATCCTGTTAGTGCGGCGATAGTGATGCCAGCTTGGTACGAGGCCGGGATACGAATGTGTCTAGTACGAGTGCCGTGCTCTGACCACCCGGTTGAACGCCACTCTCGTATCACGTTTGCCACTTGACCTAAGGGCAGGTAAACCATTAATCACTAAATTTCAAATTGGCTTTGTGTACACGACTGTACGTCAGACTATACATTGTTGACTTTGTACCGACCGCGTTTCATATGAAACTTCCCTACTAACAAAGGTCTGCTTACGCTGTTGGTATGTAGCGTGAAGTGTGGGCGTGTGTTAAAAGATAAACCGTTGAAAGAGCGGCGATAGTATGTCAGCTTGGTACGAAGTCGGGTTAAGAATGTGTCAATATCATGGTCGCCGAACACAGAATTTCGTACAATGTCCCAGCAAAACATATGTCTTTCACTAGTTCGCAATTATATGGCTAATGCGGTCACACAGCTGCAACTAGCCAAATTTTGTCATTGTAAAGTGAACCTAAAATGTTTACGATACCTATCATCAGTAGACACAAAGGTCAAGGTACGAAATTCTCTGTTGGTCACTTTGCTATATAGTAAGAGCTCTCAGCTCTTATATCCCGGTGATCACCCGTTTGAACGCCATTTGCGTATCACTTCGCCACTTGACCTTAAGAGCAACTAAACCATATATAACGAACTTAAAAATGTGTTTCTTTACAAAGAAGAAACGTTCAAATAAAAAAAAAAGTTACCAGGCAAATAGTATGGGCAAAAAACCCACGGCAAATATGAATGAAATTAAGAAAACATATAGTCTTTTGTCTTTAGTTTATTATGGTGAAGCACAGAATACAGAAAGTCGTTAGAAGGGCCTTGTTGGCGTGGCAGCGTAGCCACGATCCTGGACAAATGTACAGGATCATGACTTCACCACGCGATCGCGATGTTTAGTCATTCACGAACGCGCGCGCTGTAAGTATTGTGAAATACGCCACTAAAAGTGTTAATAATGCCGGCTTGCACGGTTTTTTTAATTGCAAAACAAGAAGCCAATCCTCAAGTAGGTCCAAAGGAGGGATTTCTTTTCGTTAGTAAGGAAAACACTTCTCAAATTTAGTATTTTTAAGGGGGGAAACAAAGGAGTTCAAAGTTTTTACATGTATTTACAGCATTTCATTTATTTATATAGAATGACAACGTCACATCAATGATGGAAGGCTCCTTGTTTCGTTGATGGTACCTACGTAGTAAAGAGGTATATATCAAATCTCGGCCGCCATCGGATTCACTGCACCAGAGGTCCCGTCAGCAACTGGTCTATATGGCAACGACACGTTTCGCCGGAGTCTGTCAGCACTTTGTAATGTAGCTGGCCAATCCGACGGGATATTTTACCGAATTCCCATTTGCTACAACCATTAAAGTTACATGCCTGTACTCGTCATTTTGAGAAAAAGCTCTAAGTCCACTTGCATTTCGACTCTGTCTTTTATTCGGTTTATGTACCATTGCCTGTAATTTTGTCCGAACATCTCTTCCAAACATCAACTGATATGGTGATGAATCTTCTCTTATAGGGATGCGACGGAGACAGTATTTGGTCTGAAGTAACCTTTCGGTTAGATTATCACCCTCCCCAGCCATACCACGCAATGACTATTCGATTGTTTGGACATACCATTCTGCTTGTCCATGCCTAGCCGGGTGGTATGGAGCTGATGTTCTGTGTACAATGCCTTGTTCTGATAGGAATTTTTTGAATACTGAGGACACAAATTGCCTGCCTTTATCAGTATGTTGGGAATGCCAACTGTGCATCTCTTTCAATTTAAATATACATCAGGTACTTGTAATAGTTTTTGTAGGCATTATCTGCACCAATTTACTGTAAGCGTTTACTAGAATCGATAAATAAGTACCTTGAATTCGACCTGCAAAATCAACATGTATTCTTACCCATGGTGTAGTTATTTCTTCCCAGTGAAGGGGTGGCGATTTGCTGGGCTCGTTTTGATGGAATCTACATGTTCGACATGCTTAAGCTTTATTCTCAATGTCTCGATCTATAGTTTTCCAGTAAATGTAGTTTCGAGGTAATAATTTTTAACGATGCTATGTGACTTACATGTAGTTCTTCAAGTATTCGGGAGCATAAACTTTCCGGTATGAATGCTCCGATTCCTTTCAATATGCAATCTCTCTGAATAGTTAATTTCATTATAGCCAAACATTTTAAATGTGTGTCCGGATTTTAAAGCTAGAAGTAACTTTTTTAGCTCGTTTCGTTTTTTTATCATTTCTGGATTAATTTCGAGGATATTAATTTGAATTAATTGAAATAGGCTGTGCTGGTCACGATACGATTTTTTTTAATGTTCAATCGGAAATCTAGATAAATAGTATTTGAATTGTCTGTGGACTTTCGATATTTTATGTCATAATTAAATCCTATTAAAAAATGGGCACAATGAAATTATTTCATAGTACTCATAGCCGTAAGCGTCTTGTGTAGGTGGAATGACATTTGAGTGTAGACAAAATGTTCTCGAGCTCGTCATGCTACGCGTGCTGTTGGCGATGCATCTAGGGTTGCCAGATAGCGACAGTCGGGACCAAAAAAAAAAACTAATAAAAAATCCGCTTTTAATTTATTAAATTTTAAAATAATAACAAGTGGATGCATCCGTGGCCAATATTACTGGTTCCTTGGATCAAAGTGTATCAGAACTCTTGTCGCTTACAATTTCTTCTTTGAAACTATCTTTACATTCTGTGGTCCAATTAGTCTTTTTAAAGAGTTAATTCAAAGGATATGCAAGTGTGGACAGGTAAGGTAGGAATTTATTGTAGTAATTAGACATGCCTAAAAATATTCGGGGTTGATTAGTATTGGTCAGTTCTTTAAAAAAACTTTGATTTTATTTTCATTTTTATGAGGGCCGTATTTGTCGATAATCTGACCTAAGTAATTTATATTTTTTTGAAGAATTGACATTTCTCTTTGGTGACTTTTCATAAAATAAAAAATTCCCTAATTTTTTTCTAATACTAGTTTCAATCTTTCTAATAATTCCTTTACATTGGTCCTTTGGATAATGATCTAATCAAAGAAACATTTAACTCCCTGCGTGTTGTAATAGTCTATCCATGAGTTTCTGCCATAAACTTAGTGCTACCTTCATACCAAACATCAATCTATTTACTCTATATGTACCCTTGTGTGTGCTTAATGTTTGAAATAAAGCCCTTTCATTTATCCATTAGCATATTAAGATAAGCTTGGCATATGTTAAGCGCATAGAATAATTATCCTCAAATCGTTTCAGAAAAGATATATTCAATTATCGGTATGGGGTAATTTTCATCTTTAATGGCTTTATTTAAGGTAATTTTATGGTCTTTGCATAGTCGAATGGTTTCGTTAGGTTTGACGATGGGTACAATTGGCATCCCCAGTCTGATTGGTCGATCTTAGTTATTACTCCCTCTGATACTAGGCGTTCTATTTCTTTCTCAACCTTTTCCTTTAAGGCATAAGGGATCCTTCTTGGTCAAATTCTGAGTCAAATTAATAATGAAAATCAGTTGGTAATCTTTTTTGAGGTTAAGATGGGCTTTAAAATTCGATTTTTTTATTAATTTTCCGCTAAAAACTGTAGATCAATATTCTGTAAGTAATTTATCTAGTTCATTATGTGGTTCTTTTGAATTTAATATACTTAAATCTACTAGACCAATTGTTACTTCCTTCATCCAGCTTCTTCCAAAAATGGCGTCATCATTTATAATTATGATTATAAAGTTTCCCATAAAATTTTTGCTTATTGTAAGTGCATTTGACAAATGCTATGTGTATGCTACTCCAGATGGTTGAATTACTTCTCCTGTGCATGTTTTTCTCTTTATGTCGGTCTTGATTTCAGTGACATTTTATTGTGTTGTTGCGCCCGTATCAAATTCCATTAGTACTTTCTTATTTTCTATAATAATCATGTATTTTGCAGAAAGTTCTTCATTTATCGTGTTGATGTCACAAATGTCCCCTTCGATGATTGATTCATTACTGTTGTAGTCTATTTGATTAGTAGTTGTTTTTCTTTGTAAACACGCTCTCCCACTTAGGGACGGGACACTTAGTCCCCTTTTCTAACATTTAAAACATGTGTCATGAATTGCACCACATTGGTTTGCCTTATGATCTTCTTTACCACATCTGAATCCTTTCAAGTCTTTTACTGTCAACATTGTCTTTATAGAATTTCTGTATGTTCGTATCTGTTAGGAAGTTGATGCTTTGTTCATGGTTATAATACTGTTTTTTCATGTTTCTGTATTCATTGTGTAACTGTGTATTTTACTCATTTCCAAAGTAGATGCAGTTTGTACAAGTTTACTGAATTCATACGTTTATCTACTCTGTAACAGTTTAATTTTTATTTCGATATCTTTTTATCCTCTTATGAGTTGTAAAATTTCGAAATTCTCTGCTACTGTTTTAGAGCAATTTCGGCATCGGAATTCACAATTAGTTGTAAGTTTAATTCCATAGTCAGTTATTTTATTAAGTTGCGTATAAACGAACTGAAAAATTACCATCTTTGGTTCATGACTGTATGGCTTAAGTTCCTTTTCCTATTTGAAAACAATCTACTACAAACAAATTTCCCTTGGCCTTTGGTCCATTTCGATGGTTCTGTTTCCGTTCATGATTTGACATAAATATGTCGAACATAGTATCGTAATCTAGTGAAAATTATTTTTGTTTTTTTTTTTTATATACAGGAATATTTTTTTCCAGTGCGAAAATTTTTTTTCGGAGTGAGTACCCACGATGCGGCACGTCGCTTTGGTGTGAGCCAGCCCGTGGTATTGAAGCTGCTTAATACAGCCGGACTCCATCCGTACCACTTTCAGCCGGTTCAGCAGCTCCATGACCTAGACCCAGTACCATGTCGAGCCTTATGCGAGTGGCTTCTACATCACCGAGATGCAAACATCTTGTGGACGGATGAGGCATTGTTCACACGTGTTTCTTATGGGAAGAAGTCAAACGCCGGGATGTAGAGGAGGCACAAGGCCTAGAAGACTTACCAATGAAAAATAATAATGCTTTTAGTAAAGTGAAAAGTGACACTAGTGTTTTGATGTACAGAGGTGGACTTCATTTTGAACAAATATTAAAATACAGTGATCAGTAGATGGTAAGCAATTATTTTAGTTAGGTATTATTTTTGATTCAACATTATTGTAAATACGTAGTTGATTCCAATTTTTTAAATAGCCCTTAACGCAGAAGTACTTATTTAACCTCGGCATAACGTTAATATTTTTTTCTAGGTAACGAATTTGTTTCTCTTTTATTTTTTTTGCATTTTGATGGCTTTAACCAAAAAAGTATGAAGGGAAAATTGGAATTACAAATCACCTCAGATCATGGCATAAATTCTAGTTCGAATCTAACAAAATGAGCGGTCAGTGACCCGTGTAGACCTCGACGGTATCTACCTACATACCTACGGCGACGAGCCCATAAATTTAGTTTTAAAGTCTCGATCTTTGGTAAGCGATGACTTTATTTTTTAGTATTAGAACATATCAAAATAAAAGAATACGTGATTGTTTTAATTACTTCAAGTTTATTTTCACAAAATCTTCACAGTGGTTTTAATTTTTTCCTGTATTTCCCATTGTCAAAGGTTTCAAACTATTAATAGATTCAGAATATAAGGTTTTTGCTTTAAGATAAATTTAGTAAAGAAATGAAATTTGTCAGTTTAATTATTATATTATAAAGAGGAAAGATTTTATTGTTTGTTTGCATTGAATAGGCTCCAAAACTACTTGGACAGATTTTACAAATTCTTTCACCTACATCATACGGGGTTGACATAGGCTATATAACAGCTAGTCTATACTAATATTATAAATAGGAATTATCTATTTTATTGTTAGCGTCAAATAGATTCCCAAGCTACTGGACTGATATTAATATTCTTACTCCTACACGAAGCTACATGACATGCGAATGACATATATCTCTAGGCTACAATTTACGTGAGCAAAGTCGCGGGAAAACTTACCCAGAACATTGAAAGTGTGGAAGCGTTGATCGGGCACCATCATCAGTGGAGACAAGTCCGTATTCGACGTGAATCTTGTCAGTACATCTCTGGTTCGCACTAGTAACACTGAAGGAGAAGTAAGTCGGGGCCATAAAGTCGACTCTCGAACGCACTCGACAGGATTACATAGATAAATCCCTCTGTGGGATACTCCAAAAACCATTTGGTGATGCCACGCATCTGGTATTTCGCCATCGCAACCCACTTGGAGATTTAGTGTGACAATAGGTACGGCACCTATAAACAATTTGAAATCATAAGATAATATATAATATAATAAATAATATATAATAGAATTAGCATAGCATAACTTAACAGAATTCATAATTTATTTAAATACCTAAAGAAATCCAGTCGGCGAGCCAGTGTGAGAGCGACATAGCCCTTTCAGGGTACGTCGGGAAGAACCTAGCGGTGACCAGCCCATCGGATGCTCTCTGAATACCTGTGACGATATCCCCTGCTGTACATCCGGCAACAGCGCGTGACAGTAGATACCTGCAAATATAAGCAAAAGATCTGGATGACCTATTCATAAAATCTATTTTGAAAGTTATGACTTTCAATTCTAATCGAGGATCAAATTGAAATCGACTGATAAAAGGGAGCTGACCTATCAACTATATACATATTTTTAGTGGCTGTGTATAGTAGTAAATTCTATTTTAATCAGCCCAACTGTAATTGTTATTATAGTTATTAAAGTAATTAGTGGTAAATGGTGCTGGTGGCACAACTAGTATGTCATCATGTTTTGTATTGTATGCAATTAAGTTGTTGTGTCATTGTTTGTCTACCTGAATATAAATTAAAAAAAAATAACGCACAGCTCAAACTTCTGGGTAGATCAAGAAGAAGTTTGGCACACTAATAGTTGTTATGACATAGAAGATTGCTAAGAAAGGATTTTGAAATATTCAATCCCCAAATATTCAAGTGGCTTAAAAAACATGTAATTCATGTGGGTGAACATCAGTTCTATTGAGTCAGAGGAATCTTTTAATAATAAAAAAAAGGTGCTAGACGAAGTAGATTGCATTTTGTCAGTGTCAGATAAAAATAATGAGCAGTATTCTGTTCTAACGCTGATATTGTGATAGTAGTCTAATACGAAACCAGATTAGTTGATTTAATTTTATTACAATTTTATTTTAAGAATGCATTATTGGGATGCCTATATTTACCTAGGTAACGGTGCATTATTTGCTCTCAGTCTTGTGCCAACAGAAGAATTTATTTTTTGAATATTGACTGGTAACCCTAATGCAATCTGGAAAAGATTTGACATATATGAAATCAATTATTTGTGGAGATTTATAATAAATAGTGCCAGTTAAAATAATAATAGTTTTTTTAATGTTATACATACAAATACATTAACAACAGCAGTTGCACCACAGGCAGAGGTACCAATTTGTGTTACTTGCCGCTCACAAGCTTCTCTTTCTGACCACACCATGCAACGAGGTGGTAGTGAGCAATGAGAGTCTTCTGCGCTGCTTGAATCAGGATCACTCGTCTGAAATAAAAGGTAAATCTTAGAAATATAATGGTACATGCACATTTCAAGTATATTAAGTTAAACCCTTAGACTCCTAAAATATCAGACCATTTGTTTTGAAACATAAATATACATATCAATACAATATTACAATACCATTTAGTAAATGAGTACATAGTAATAAACATAAGTTGACAAACCTTTATTTGACCTTTGTTAACTCTTTTATTTGTCAGCATAGTAAAGTCTATTCCTGGGGCATAGGTCTTTCTTTTTCTTTAAAATAAGTACTTGTCAGTTTAACTTAAACTTCCACGGAGTTGAGAGGATTAATTAAATAGAATAACAGTTCACAGTTAATTAATTGCTTTAGTATCTGAACAAGAAAATATTTTTTTACCAAATCAGTAGCATGAGGATCCGAAATTGATGTAGCATTTTCAACAAGTTTTTTTGCCATAGTGAGATGATAAAAAGCTGATGACAAATTGCTTGAATCAAAAGTTGGCCTTTCTCCTTGGTTTATTTGATGTGCAAATGGACCTTCCGTGTGATCTTCATCATCTAACAACATTTAAAATAAATTATAAATTGTATGAATATGACAAAATAGCAGATGGTATCTCAAACTTACAATTTAAAATTTCTCGAGGTGATACCAGATCGCCATTTGAAACATGTAGGTTCGAACCACTAGGGATGATAGGATGATTAGACATTGTTCTACGAACAAGCAATTGTTCACCTTTCACGTTTATATGAGTAATTAATGGTCCAAATGTATGATCAACTTCAGAATCATCTTTAGCATCTTGATCCTCTGATGATACATTATGACTAGTTGATGGCACACTACAGCAATAAGAGTCTGTATAATTAACAGTTGAAGTTGTAGGCATACAAACTAAAGGGTTATATTTGACAGCTGCCATATATTCTGGTGAAGTTCCTCTCACAACAGGTTCATTCTCTTCAGGCATATTAATAACTTCTTCTAAATCACCATCAGGGCTAGATTCATCACCCGTGTCAGCCTCACATGAAGGCCCTGGATCAAAGTCCATCTCTAAGAAGTCCATGTCAGGGCTGGATGCACCAGAATTGTTTTCTCTTGCATTTGCTGCTCCCTGTTGTTGTCCAGGATAGTTAGGTGCATGAGGAAGATGTTTATCTAAAGGCAGCCCCATGTCAAGGCTGAAAAATGAGCTTGGCAAATCTGCAAGATGCTCACCACCTCTATAAGTGTAAATACAGCCATCTTCTGATCCTAAAGAGTAGTCATCGTTACCGGTGTCACTAGAACTGTCATCAACATCCAAAGGACTTTTATTTAATTTCAATGATGAAGGTCTTTTTCGATTGTTCTGTTCTCTTGAACCATTACCATCTGCATTATCATAAGCTTTAATAGTTCCACTAGTTGAAGGCATGTTACAGGTACTGTTGCCAACCCTGTCTAAGAACAATTTGTGTTTTTGACATGACTGTAAATCTTTGTTATTATCAAAGATATTGTTTTCTGATTTACTGGTACCTTCAATTGCTAGTAGTTCACTATTACAATTGTTCTCTTTGTTATTATGAATTGAGCTAAAATTTTTATTGCATTCTGTATTATCATCATTAGATTTGTGTGACGATGGCGAGGTTTCATTGTTAGTAGTATTTAGATTTCTTGGGCAAGGTCCGTTTTGAGTGACTAAATTAGCTTCAATTTCATGAGACGTTGATGTAAACACATTTCCAGAATTATCGTTGGTGCCTCGTTGCTTTGGCGTATCCTTATAATTTCTTGTTTTTTCACTATCGCAATCAACCCTTAGAGTATTTCTCAAGGATACCGAGTTCTTTTGTGGTTCCATGGTCACAAATACTGGATTAAATTTTCTAATCAGCTCTCAATCGTCCGTCGGCATTGTACACAATTTTTGTAGGTTACCACTAAAAGTTAGTCCCGACAATAATATTGCAACGAACTCGATTAAGAGAAACAATTATCTGTGAAGTGATTTGTTTTTATAGTATTCAATTGAAATAATTAAACATGATCGTATTAGATCACAATAACAAACAGAAATTCACGATTTCAACAAAGTTGACAGTTTATTTTTTTATCGTCTCTTAATTAGTTAGTCGTTCCGTTTTATGCAAAAATAATTCGATCGACGCAGTTTTATTTATTTATTTTTGGCCGTGTACTCATCCAGATAAGTTTTATCGGTTTTTTTTAGATAAAATGCTTGTGTTTATAAATATTTATTCATAACCACAACAAGAGCAATAATGTCTTGCTACCAACCGATTCGGTCGTTCACAGTGAGCCCGCGTTGTCCTTGTTTATATACCGTGAACAGCACGTTGCCAGCTTATACAAAACTGTCAAATTTTCACACTCAATTTTAAACCTTAATACATTTGGAAGTAGAGTTCAAAATCTATGGTGGAAATTTGACATAATGGGATAACTTGATGTGCATTCGTGTGTACATTGATATTCTGGGAGGAACAAAATGACCGACACAGCCGAAAGTTTCAAGTTAGATTACATGCAAACGTTTATTTTATTTGACAAATAGTTAAAAATAGAGGTGTAAAAATGGAGTAAAAATTTTAAATTTCTGAGTGGTAACAGCCCTTTAACGCGCATGCGCAATATCGATTGTGTGCAAATCACAACGAACCACGAAATACGTTAATTTAATTTAATTTTTTACCGATATCTTAATGATAGTCGATGCTGAAAACGACCACTTCCTCTCTGAAGACTGAGCTAAGCACGCAATTTTCAATGCCGCGCATACACACGCAAAACATTCACACACATCACATTTCACACAAAACTAAACACGATCTTCACTAAACTAAACTTAACACTCAAGACGAACACTCTAGTATCTTATTAACAAAATTCAATTAAAAATGCACTAGAACAAAACAAAAATCTACAAAAAAGACGCTTCGCAGCGGTGCGTCGGCGGCGATGCGCAACAACACTCCAACGCAAAAGGTCGGCGGCGACTGAGCGGCCGGAAAATACCCACAGAATAATGAAGCCGCCTGGCGGCTGGCTGATGGGTGGGGCTTTAATATCGAGGGACGAACTCGGTTCCATTATTTTTATTCGTCTTTTGATATCACGCATTTTTTAATGTTCTTTTTAAATGCAATTTTGATAACAAATTCCTCAATGTTTTTTAAAAAAAAGTTCATTTGTGTTAATGATGAATCGCTGGAAGATTTGTGAGTTTATCGAGTTTAATTAACGATCCCTTTGTTAAAGGATTATTACCCCAATCAAACAATTTTTTTGGAGAACTGCTCTTTTAAAATAACGTAGGTTAATGTTAGACTGATCTCTCTACAATAATTTAGGAAATTTTACACTCGGTTTCTTAATTGAGAATTTAAAGTTAAACGTCTCAAACTAACATCACTTAGTTTTCGTTTCCGATTTTAGTTTTTTGATGATCAGTTGATAGCAGTTTGATAAAACTAGGACTATTTGACTTGTGAAATAAAAAAAAAAACTAAGGTTATTGAGAATAAGCAGTAGAAATGTTTTACTTTTTTGAAATCAGAAACCGGCTGTTAGTCTGTAAATCGATTTAAGCATTTTGACTACCTTGTTTATTGATTGTCTGGTAGAATTTGCATAAAATCAGTCTTATAAGTCACAAACTAGTTTATTTCGTTTTTAGAAATGAAGAAGTCAATGACCGATTAAAAACTTTTCCTTAGTACGTCCCAAAAACAGCTGACTCAGGGTTGAAAACATTCATTCTTTTTCAAAAACTTTGTGATTTAATATCTCCGAAATTATTTGACCGATATGAAGAAAAGAAAGGATAGGAGAGAGTAAAAGGTATACTATATAACATATAAAAAGAAATATATAAAACAAATATAATAAAAGGTGTATATTTAGGCTAGATTTATTGTATAGAAATATTTTAGGCTAGATTTTATTTATTTATTGCCGTAGTCCACTTTAGACAAAATTCTATCCTGCATAGACCGAGGTCTACTGCAGGTTGGACTGAATGGTGAGTGTTTCTCATCCATTTTGTTCTTAGCTTTACTGTTTTGGTTATAAGTCCTGCAATTTATGCAGGAGGGTGGCTTGTCAACTGTGGTGCACTCCTTTCGAAGATGGTCGGAGAGTCCATGGTGTGTGCAAATTTGCGTAGCTTTGCATTGGCTTTGTGTGTGCCCAAACTGGGCACACTTCCGGCAGTGCTTGAAGACCGTTAACTCTTTGTAGTGCACCTTCTGCAAACCGATGCTAAGCCTTGGTGCTTGCATTTGCGATAGCTCTTGCCATACGATGCGACTGACAACAAGTATTGCATTATATAGTGATCGGTTACGATTTGTTGACTTGAACCGTAATTGAAGGTCATTATCATTGGTGATGCCAGATTTGGGTTCCGGTTTCTTAATTCGCTCACTAATTTGTCAGAAGGTATTTTTCTGTGTATGCCTTTAAGCATAATCCTTGGATGGCCTTTCCTATCGGGCTCCACGATAAATTGTTAGAGGCTGTGGCTTTGAGGTGGTCAGCCGCCCTTTCGAGCTCTTCAAGGGTATCGAATTGCAAGCGAGTCTTGCCCTTCGAAATGTGTCGGATGTTTACTGTGCTTGGTGATTGCGCCTCTTTGAGAATCCGCTTCAGCTCAGTGGTGTTTGCTTCGCGGTTGGCGGCCTTGTCCATCGGCGTTAATATCAACGTCAGATGGGGTAGTATGAACGCTCGTGGGCTGGTAGTGTTCAGCGTCGCCGCACGTCGTCTCTCCGGGAACGGAGTGGGGGAAGGAACGCAGCAAAGGCGGAAGGTCGTCTCTCCGGGAACGTAGTGGCGATGTGGATGGAGGGGCAGCAGGTTTGACACTGTTCGCTGCAGCAACACGGGCGTATGTAGGCTGCGTTTGGGTGTTATGGCGCGGCAACTTAATGCGTGCAAACGCCTTCCTAAGTTCCGCAAGCTCCGGAAGTGGACTGCGGTGGCAAAATCAAATTTAGGTTGGATGTTGCGCTTGTGAGACCACTTCGGTTTATGGCAGGTGGAGAAATTTCTTAATGGCTCCGACCATGTTGGAGCAATAGATAAGCGATCCTATCACATGGAGTTATTGGGAGCTATAACTCTACTTTACCCCTGGATTGGGCACAAATTCTTATGACCTTAGGTTCCACTATGGCGATATAGTAGAGGTACAAAATGCATTTTAGGGATAAAGCATAGTTATTGTAGAGGTACATAAGCGCTAACTGAGTCCTAAAGAATTGTAAAAGAAGTATTTAAGACCCATATTACATCTCAACTGTGATTTCTGCGTAATATTTCTCGGAAACAAAAAAAAAAAAAAATTTTGACTTGTTGAATAGTGAGGAATAACTCTTGGTATAGAAATAAGTGGCCCAACTTTTTGGAAATTTTGCTCATCTTTTTAATTAAACCCAAAATACCAGAGAAAGATTTTCATAAAACGCGCAGACACTTTTTTGAGCTCCTGGATTGAGCTACTGTTCTTAACAAACGAAATAAAAGAAATAGAATGATATCTCTTATATAGTCGTAAAGTAAACAGTAGCGTCGAAATTTTGAAATAGCACTGATTAAATATAGAAAAGCAATCATATTATAAACCAAAAAACATCAAAAATTGCTTGAATTTACTTTGAATTTCTCTTAGCCACAACAATATTATTTAACAAAATTTATGCCAGATTAAACATTAGCTTGAGTATACGATACAGTCAAAATAATACTCCAAATAAATGCACTTACACTAATATCAATGTTCGCGATAGCAGTAACATGCAGATTCCTTCGGGTTCAAACGATCACTTTCGCGACAAAAACTAAAGATTTTAAAATACTGTTCCAAAATATACAAAGTTTGAACAACAAGATACATATACTTGAAGCCTTTTTAGACAGAAAACCTAAAGAATATCAAGCGATCTGTATATCAGAAACTTGGTTATCAAGAGGTAAATCGGAATTAATTCACTTTACGGCATACAACCTCGCATCATCGTATTGTAGACGAAACTACGAAGGCGGTGGCGTTTGCATATTACTCCACGAAGATCTAGAATATATTGAACATAAAGAAATTGTGGACATGTCATTAGAATATATTATACAAATAAGTTGTATAGAAATAATTACTTATAATATTCTACTAATTATCTTATACTGGAATGGGAGAGAAGTAGTTCTTTTCTACAAACAATTGCAGAAATTACTAAACCTTTTATTACAAAAATATAATAAAAAGAAAATAATATTTAGTGGAGATTTTAATGTAAATTTATTGGAAAATAACAATAAATCAAAACAACTTTTAGAACTTATATTAGAATATAATTTTCGACAGTGGATGGATGAACCTAATCGAGTTACTATTAATTCCGAAACTTGCCTGGATCTTATCTTTACTAATTTTTCGAATTATACTTTTGACACACTCGTAAAAGAGTTCGGTTTTTCGGATCATCGGGGTACAGAAATAAATATAAAAAAGTTATCATTACACGATAGACCCATTACATGGAAAATAAAAAAACGTTTATATACAAAACCGATATCGAAATAGAATTATTCAAATCTACATTAAAAAGCCTAAACTGGGAAAATATTCTTAATGCAACCACTGTAAATGAAAATTATAATAAATTAAATGACATCCTACAAAATACTCTAATTAAATGTATTCCTAAAAAAATTTTTGAGTTAAAAAATAATATAAGAAAAAAATGGCTTACTATTGGCATAAGAAAATCGTGTAAAATTAAGCGTACATTAAAACAAATGGTTACCTATACAAACAATCCTATACTTAGAAAGCACTACAAATTATATGAAAAAACACTAAAACATTGTATGAAAAACATCAAAAAAACTTCAATATATTCGTCAAATTAAAAAATCTAATAACGTAACGAAAACTATGTGGAATATTATAAAAGACCGAACCAACAAAAACGTAAATAAAGAAAATAAAAATACGCTTCTACGTATCCACATTAAACTTGTGTCAGATCCCTACCAAGTTGCGAATTTGTTCAATAGACATTTTGTATCGGTCG